ATATTTTTATGTGAGCTTCTTTCTGGCTTACCAGATTACAACATTCTTTAGGTTCTACATGTAAATTGTATAAAAGTTGACATAGAACATAAATAAAATTAACTTTTAATAAGACAATTTTTAATGTCAATTTACATGGTTTGTTCAAAGGCCACATATATTTCTATTAATAATTGATGGTTGATATTTTTCGAAAAAAGTATTAATGATCATTTGCATACAGTGGCAGGCAATAATAATATATAAAAGGACAATGTTCTACCATACATTTTTAATAAAAGTTTAAGCTGGCAGTTAATTTGCTATGTAACTGTAGTTATATTCTATTTATTTCTAAAAAATACTGGGGTATATCTGAAAAAAAAAAATAATTACAGGAAAACTATAATTTGTTCTTATAAAATTAGGAAGAATTTTACTAATTTCTCTTCTGATGATTTTAAATCTTCATTCTTGTCTTAAATTTGGTCTGTTTAATTTGGTTAAATTCAAGCAGATATCTTTTTACATATAAGAATTATTTTATGCTCCAATCTATTTCTTAAAAGATAACTCTGTATATTCTAAATCTGATTGATGACATGGGAATATGATTGTTTTCACAAGAAGGCATACAAGAATCCAAGCTGTAAAAGTCTTTGTCTGACTTGTCAAGAAACAGTCAATCTAGCATATTGTCTTCATAGATTAGACAACCTTTCTAATAGCTAAATTCAGGATGCTTTTTGTTTATTGCCATCTTTAGTTGGTCTAATTACTTGTTAGAAGAAATTATTTGGTTCCATAAAACCTTGTAGAAGATTCCCTTCCAATCCCATCATCTAATAGTGTCATCATCTTTTGGCTGGTTAGTTGTGGTTCATTTCATTTGCCCTATGGTCTGTTATATTCCATGTTTTTATAAAGTATTCACTTTTCATCACCTGTCATGATTTTTTTAATACTTAACAAAAAACACTTTGGTTGTGTTTAACTAGTACATTGCATATGGAAATATATTAGTATTTTTGTTTGTTTTTCTCATTTAACCCATATTGAAACTATATATCAAATCAATTAAGGTAATCATACTGGTGAAATTTGTTTGATTTAGATATTTTGCATATATTAGCTATTCTGCACATTTTAGAGCTAATGCCTTCATTTGAAATGCCTGGCTGTGAAGCATAATTCAGCAAAACATATCTGGTATAAAATTCACTAACCGTTTTTGATGAGTTCAATCATCCACAGAACCTTCACCAGAAATTATGAAAATCTTGTTTGCATTTGAATTGCATTCTTATACCTTAAAATAATCTCTTTGTGTTGAAGATTGCATTCAAGCTTGAAACACTGTCACAATTCAGTTTAACTTCAGTATCCACTCTTATATTTACAAACTCTTTATCTCTGATATTGAGCACTTTTTCCAAAAATATAGCCCATCTTAAAACTGTGTGTGTGTGTGTGTATATATATATATATATATATATATATATATATATATATATATATATATATATAGAGAGAGAGAGAGAGTAAATGTTACTTATTTTCTTCCATCTTTAGTGTTAGAATCAATGTTATTTACTAACTTGGCCACACTTATTATTTTTGTGCTTTGTTTGAGATCTTGGTCTTTAGAGAGATAAATATTTGAATTTCAGTCAATTGATTTTACAAAAGAAAGTAGGAACTAATTGCATATTGTTTTAAAGTTGTACACCTTTAAAAAGAAATGTTTAATATTTAAATCTCTTGGTTCTGACTTTAGATTAAAATGAACAATAGACTGAAAAATTAATTATTCACATGTGAAGCAAAGTTGCAGTTTTCTTAACTTCTCTTGAAAGGTGTTAATTTATTGCTTGACAGATAAAATTTAATCTTGGTCTATTATTGTTGAAGGTACATAATTCATTTCTGAATCCAATATCAATTACCTTCTTCTGTCCTCTTGAAGCCTGTTCTTTTATTGTCTTTTCTCTTCACTAAAGTCTTTTCATTCTCTTCCACTCCTAGTAAATCTTTTACATCTTTGTGGCATTATCACCTTGCTAGATTTAAAGAAAAAAAAAATTAAAATAATGGTTTTGAAGATAATATTGCAAGTAAAGTATTTGAATACCAATTTCAACTGTACAATAGATTGACCATTGCTAATTTTACACAATGTCAGATTTTTATTATTCAAGTCAATATTTTTGCAATAAAACTAGCATTAACCAACTGATGTTGGTAAAACTTTCAGAATATACATCTATTTATATGAGCAAGGAATCATAAGTTTTAGCTTGTAACTTCTATCCTTATTAAAAATATTGATAACTTGTTTTGGAGATGTCAGTTTGTTTTCATAATAAACCCTAAGTGCTATATAAATTGTTATTAATAGGAAATCAAAAAATATGAGCCATATAAACATATTTCATCAACATAATGACCCATATACCTGAATAATTGTTTTGCTTGTTAATATGGGCTCCTTGACATCTTATAGCCTCCATCAGTTTTTCATCTATTGATCTTTATAAAATTTTCTACTTTTAACTTTAACATTATCTGCAGCAGTTTGTGTTGTCTCCCAGAGATGATCTTTACTTGAATATTGTTTGCTATTTTTATATACATCTCTTTTAATGATGGGCCACCAATTTTCTGTTGGTTTAATATTTGGAGAGGCTGGGAACCATTCCTTTAATATCAAAAAAATTTTTTTTTAAAGTAGGCATTGATCAGCTTTGCTGAATATGAAGGCATGTATTGCATGAATATACTCTTCAGCTTGAAACTTCTTGTTTGTGACTTGTACCATTCCGAAAGTATTGTTCAAGAATTAACAATAATTCTCTGCATTTACCCTTATCAACTTTGGTTGGAACTATAATTTTACTACCTACAATATTAGCCCCAAACATTACTCTAACACTCTGTTTTCTGAATTGTGTTGGAGGACTATTTCCATGAAAAGTTCAACCTCTACCCTAACCATCTGGTACATCCAATATAGCTCTATATTAATCACTAAAAATTACTATTGGGGAATTATTTTTCATGTAATCAGTCAATCTGCACATTTCTCTTTTGGATGTTTACTTAAAGATGGTAGTTTGGTTTCATTCACATTCTTAATAATGTGGATCTTTTCCTTCTGTTTATATTTATAATACCTGCTTTTTCAAATGTTTTCTTGATAGTTTATTTAACGTTTTTGATTTTAATTTTTCTAAGTTTTCTTTCTGTGACATTCTTAAATCCAGTTTTTCCTTGTTCTTATCTTGCTAATGTTTTCAATTTTTTTTTTTTTGTTATATGATCTTTGTTTAACTTTCTCAATTTCCAATACTGTGCTCCTATCATGCAGTATGATGTTTCTCTTTTGTGATTATATTTTTCTTACAACCCATGACAATGTTTATTCCCCACACCCCAAAATATACCATTATATTTATATGATGAACAACTCTCAAATTGCATAATAAAATCTTACACCACCAAATAAGTTATTGCAATTATTTCTAATAAAAACATATAAGCTGAAATTTAAAAAAAAATCACTTGCTATATAATATAAATTCCTCTTTTATTTTGTTGTTTTTGTATTATTTAATGCTCAATAATAGCCTAATTTTTAGACTTGGATTTCTTGAGCAATATATTGAGATTTTGTTAAAAATTGGACAATGTCTTTCTCAAATTACATATTTTATAGGCTCGAAATTTGATTTAGATAGGACAAGACACTTAAAAGGCTTGTCCAACAAGAGGATTTTGTACTTTTTTTTTTTTTTTTATTAAAATACAAGAACAGGTCAACTCATTCATGTCTTTTTTTATTTTTAATTCTTATGTAGGTAGTATATAAGTCATTGGTCTTATTATCCTTACAAGTAACATTAGATGTTTATAAACATGTCTACTATTTCTTAAATAAAAGTATGACTTTTTGATACATCTGATGAATTTGATTTATAAATGTCATCTCCCTTTCAAGTGTCAAATATTTTGTTAAAATTTGTCCCAGTCAAACTTGAATTTATTTACACTTGGCATTTTTTTCTTTCCTGATAAAAAAGTGATATGTAAATGAATTGATTGATCTATTTTGATTCTTTTCAAGCATTACCATGTGACTGATATGAATTATGCATATATATATATATATATATATATATATACACACACATACATTCAATGATTTATAAAAATAAAATATACTGACTGAAATATGAGGAGGAGGAGGAAAAATAGGAAAATGTATAAATTACTTTGAAAAAAAAAATTGTTCATGGTTTACTCCACCCTACTAACAGATTATGTCTCTAAACCAGCTTTGTGTTTGCAAATACACCAATACATATGTAGTCACTGATTTAAATTGCATGCTCCAACTACAATTGTAGCAAGTGATAAATATAGGATTTTATAATCACATTTATTTTAGTGCTAATCACTTCTGTTATCTTAATTGATATTCACTTAAAATGCATTTGTCAACTTCTCTTGCTTTTACATACTCTAATAGAGTAAAATGTCATTTAAAGATAACACAATCATGTGTAAGTTAAATAGTCTAGTAGCTTTTTTCTAAGAAATGTTTTGCAATTTCTATTGCATCACTTGTGCTTTAATTAAAAGGTATAACGTGACTGTTTTAATTTGAATTTAACTCCAAAAGTGATTTTCAACATGGCATTTTAAATTTTTTTTAAATTTAAATATCTAAGTTTTAATATTTTTAAAATTTTTATTAGCTAAATAATTTCTAAATAGATAAAATATATTTTAACAATAAATTCTAAATAGGTAAAATGTTTTAAGAATTTTTTATAAATTAGCATGTTTTACCCAAAAAATAATGATTAAAAAGTAAGTTTCTATCAATTTTGTAAAATAATAGTTTTGAATATTTTGAAATAGGATCAGTTTTGTCTTTGGAATTATTTTTCTTTCAAAATACTTATTTCTTCAGTTTTCATGAACAAATATTGTGAGTTAAAAATGTTGTCTTCTTTCAGGCTCCAACAGTCAAACGTCCAAACATGAGGCGGATGTCTAATTGTCCTCATGTGAGCGTGATTGGTGAGCATCAGTCTTGGGAAGAGATAAAGAAGAAACATGAAGTAAGTATGTGTACATCATTGGGAGTGCACTAGTTCATTTTTATATTCAGTCTATTAGTTCCACTGAACCTTGTGTCTCTGTATTTCATCCAGAATATTTGATAACAAAACTATAGTGTTAATTGACAATCATAGCTCATAATTATGAGAGCATAAATTTTTATATATATTCAACAGAACATATAGCATTGTTCAAGAAATGGAATAAAAGAATCCTATTTCAAACTGTGTTTGGATAAATCTGGAAGGAGAATGAAGAACCATTTACTTTCATTTCTTTCCTTCTGATTATCAATTCTCCTTTTAATGTGTGTAGGTGGAGGCATTTACTTTATATCCCCCTAAACCTGTCTGGTCTTTTTTAACCCCTACTTATGAAGGGTAGGGGGTTAGAGAACAAACTCCTAGATCTAATAATAGTCTTCACTACCATGTCCTGCTTACTAGAAGGTAAACACTACAGCCTGTCTTGTTCACATTCTCACTACTACCAATGTATATTATCTGCTACATTTGGTGCATTTGATAATGAACTGTTCACTCTGACATCCAGTGTAAAATATATATGGTCATTTCTTGTGATGGTAGAGGGCTTACTTGTCCCAGTGATCCCAAGAGCAAAGCCATATGGAGTTCCAACTCCTGTAGGCCATCCATGGTGGTAAGGTCAAGGAGGAGAGAACAGACTGAATGTGACCAACACCCAAAGAACCCAATGGCCGAATAAGCAATGATCTACATTATCTCAATGGCCAAAGGTGGCAGTGCCAGATAGGCTGGCATAACTAAGGCAAACCTCAACTGACCAAGCATCTGACAGCTCAATGCAACCATGTTTGCCAGATCTCACCTGTCTCAATCCTTTTTGAGCTGCAGGGGAGGCGCTTCTGAATAAGTGTGTATGTTTCCACCAAAATCAAATTCACATGAATGGCTTTGTCAAACTCTTTGATTTACTGTTATCTCCACCACCATCATCAGGGGAGAGAAACGGAATAGGATAATGATCCCTATGGTCGGATGTAAGCGGGTTTCAAAAACAAATTATCTGCTCTTTCAAACATGACTGACTGTTGCATTTTTTTATTGATGGATCATCTTTCCCATGACTTTTCACTTGTATGGTCAATTTCTGTTTACCATATACTTTAATATTGTCTTGTTCAAAAGCAATGAAAGTACAAGACTGAATCTTGTTCATACGATTGCATTTTATTCAAGTTCAGACATTGTCATTTATCACTGGCCAGTGGATTTGTGGATCTGGATCCTTCTCTGAACATCGACTCTACATTCTAAGACTGTCTTTGATGGGGTGGGTGTTTTTTATACAATTTGTCTTGCAATTTTTTTTTTTTACATGCACACATCCAAGGTGCAGCTGTTTTGATTGTGTGTTCATATGTCTAGGCAGGAGGTCATCCCTGTACCTGACTTCTTGAGTGCAAAGTCTATTCTAGCATAATCTAAGTTGAATCTTGTACATATATACACCCTTAGGTTCTTAATGGATTTTTCCATTCAAACTGTACTTTTCCCACTTGGAAAGAACTATGAACCACCACAGCCTTTTATAATTCATCTCTTTGAAAGTATGTATGCTATCATCTATTGATCATCCATTGCTTACATACAAATATCCTTAATTACTTGGATTTTGAGTTTCCTTAATTACTTGGATTTTGAGTTTCCTTTGTATATCCATTTCACTGTTTCTGTCATTGCAGGAAGAACTGTTTTATAACTCAATTGTAATTGATTTGCAAAATTCCTTTGGTTTTACGGAGTCTAGCTTGTTCATTAACTTTAATAAATTTAAGGGTAAATAAACTTATAAAACATCTCCTTACTCAAAGTTTAAATTGATAATTTAAAGTTAGAAGTTATATTTGTTTTGTTGTATTTTAATTCTGAAATCATTCAAAATTTACAAAACTTTTAAATAATTTTGAATATGAATGAGCAATATATTATTTTTTAAATTGTGTATATCACTTTCTACAATATTAAGATTGTAAAAATATTGCTAATTTTTATTTTATGTTTTTTATATTTTTTTATATTACAGCTGCAAGAATGTCATACTTGCCAAGCACAGCCACCAAACCTTTGGCTCTGCTTGGTTGGCAATTGCAACTACATTGGTTGTGGGGAATCCTCCAAAGACCATAGTGCTTGTCATGCGGAGGTAGGTGTGCTTTCCATTTTCTCTTTTACCAATCTCATTAACATCAATAAAAGCAAGATTACTTAGTATATTCTCAATGTATTAATTTGCCGTTTTTAACCTCTTCAAATTAGTTTTTAGTTTAGTTAAGAAATAAATACACAATCTTCAAAGAACAAATTATTCTTACCAAAATATTCTGATGTCATAAATAAGACATTTTGCTACTGTATAAATAATTTTTTTTTTTCTTTTCTTTTTTTCAGTATATCTTCTCTTTTAGTTTAAAGAGCTTTCTGGGGTTTATATGTTGGTAAATAAAATGTTATATAAAAAAAATTAATGATTTTGACTTGATAAATAATAATTCTAGATTTAATGGGTACATGTTAGCTTCAAACATGGATTTTTGGTATTTCTCTTGACTCAAAATTGTATTTAGTTTTTAGTGCAGAGTTTTAATTTTTTAGACCATGGGACAGTATTACAATTTGGATGGATATGGGAATCTGTATGAACCAAGCTACTTTATAAATATTGTATATAATTTTGAATAATCTTTATTTTTTTTATAAATAATATCATCAAATAAATAAATTTTAATTGTTGATCATAAAACAAATTTCAGTCTTAACTACTTTTGATCATAACTCTCTTGCAAAAGCTACTTTTTCAGCAAGGTAAAGCACCTTTCAATTACCCTACCATGTTGGGCACTTCTAAAACTAGTCTAGATGGTGATTAAAATGAATAGAGCAACTAATGCTTAGTTGCTGATATGCCATAAAGTGCATTTATACATTCAAAAAAGTTTCATCTTGCCAACTGATTGCTTGTTGCAATATTTGACTTGTGGGTTATAAAATTATGGCATGGTCTAAACATGAGTTTATGAGTACATGAGAATACACACAAGACTATAATTTTTTTTATCACACACACACACATATACATACATGTATATATATATATATATATATATATATATATATATATATATATTTTATATTTCAAGAACAATATTGGGGAAAAATGTATGACAAAGTGGGAAGTTTTTGTGTGATGTGTTTTGTTTTTCAGGACTTCATCAGACTAAATTTATTATGTTGGGGTGACTTATACATGCAACTGAATAAGGGTTGCTAAGAATTAATTTTTTTTTTTTTTTAATCTATCCAATTTCATTTAGATTCTTTTTTCTTTTTGTTTCCATCACTTTTGTTATTAGATATCCCACACTGTGATAATAGAAGTTCTACCAGGAATGGTGAAATGCTGTAAGAGTCAGAGCACAAATTTACTGTGGATGACCTTGCAAAATGCACCACACAAAAACTTTGTCATATATATATATATTTATATAAAAGCTTACATGATGCCCTTGCTACTGAACATTCTGAGCAAGATACTTGATAACTTCCCTGGCTGGCATGATTGTCACACCTCTTCCCCGTTGAACATGTATAGGACATGGGACCATGCTTCATTTATTAGCGTCTTGCTGTATTGCATCAACAAGTGCATGAGATAGGGATATTATTTACCATCTGTATGATTGTATGCAAGTGAAAATAGTACAAGTCTATGTAAATGTCTAAGGAGGATATACAGTGTATTAGTATGGGATAACTGTTAAGTTTGAGTACCCTTTAGTTTTGAAACCTGCGTGTGTATTTATCTATATATAGTGGGGGGGGGTGTAAACAAATATTTGTACGCATACAAAGACTATATGCAAAGAAGAATGGAACAAAATATCAACTAAAATATGCAAATCATTAATTGAGAACTACAAGAAGTTGGTTGATAAACAAGTGAATAATGGCTATTCTACAAAGTATTAAATGATTATGTATTCTGTTTTTGTATTGTATGATACTTTTTCACCAATTAAAATAGATAAATGGGATTTATTTTTATTAAATAAAGTTTTTTTTTTTTTTTTCTGTTTTCTATGCATATTTATTTATTATGCATCTGTGTACAGTTAATTATATGAAAAGTATGTTTATTCATTAGTTGAAAATACAATAAATTAAAAATTTGTATGTATACAAATGTTCCCCCCCACTGTATGTAATCATTTACTACAATCCAGCTAGATTAGTTGTATATTAAATTTTGAGTAAATTGAAACAAATATATCGAATGTTGCATTTTTATTTTTAGTCAGTGTGTAAGCAATCTTCCCACATAATTATGGCAAATTTTGAACCAATATATATATATATATATATATATATATATATATATATATGTGTGTTTCATTGAAGACTACTGGAAGGCATTGAGACTAAGCTTTTTATTATATTTATTAAATATATTAAGAAATATACAAGTCCAGTCAACCAGAACTAGGATAATTGATTATTTATTATAAAAAATCAAAACCACCAACCTCATTGTCAATGATAACAACTCACCTGAAAGATCCAAAATACATAGGACTAACATTATTTATGAATTTACATTCCATTTACAGAACTGTGTTCATGATGAAACAAATTCATGAATAATAATTAAATCAGACTTACAATTCCATGCCTATCAAGTAGACTTACTTTGCACCTCTTTGATCATAATTCCATTAGGACAGATTCAAATGCACACAGAGACTTACCAACCTTTATCTGCAATATATTCATGGAGAACATCATAATACACTCATCCAATTGCAGAAAATGCTTAAAAATTATGGAAGCTTTAATAATAAAAAAATCAGAAATCAGCTTTCAATAATATCAGTTATAAACACAGCCACAATGTGTTGACTGTGTTCAAGAATTAAAACATTTTTATTGCTTAAGAAAAAAAAATCTAGATATTCAGACAAGAAAAAAAAATTCTTGATAATGGGCAATAGATTAGCTGAAAGTGCTCAGTTGCAAAGATTATTTGGACAGTTCTTATAAACTGTCCCAAAATAGAAATTTTTTGTATGAATGCAAGAAAAATATAAGAAAAACTTAATCACTGTGCCTTGTCAGTTGTGTTAAATGAATCTTGTATAAAATAGGGGATTGCTGCCTAAATACACAACTTTATATATATATATATATATATATATATATATATATATATATATATAATATATTGTGTGTGTTGAAATGAATTCTTTGTATATTTTTCTTGATAATTTTCTGTTTCTTGAGGGTAAGCATGCTTAGACAAGAAAAATGTTTGCTTTACTGATAGAACTTAAATTGCCTTTTAAATAAATATCTGTTTCTCACTCACTTTATATTTCTAATGAGATAAAATATTTTCCTCTCTAGACTTTCTTTTTATAGTTGCATAGATAAAAAAAAATATAATTTTATAATTTCACTTCCCCATGTTCCATCTTTTGATATCAGAAGAGCTCACCCTTCTATTTGTCCTTTTCACCTTGTTATTCCTTTTCTGTTATTTCCCATCTCCTCTAGTTATTCAAATCCCTCCCTCTTTTCACTCAACTTCCCCTGATTCCACACCCACCTAACACTCAAAATTTCACTCCTCCTTGTTCCTACCAGTAAAAACCACCTTACATTTCCTGACCTATATATAATGCTGGTCATCTTTGGTCTGTGGGCTGGCTGACAGGCCGGTTGCTGGTGGTATCTCTTTTGGTGTTGGTTGTTGATACAATACCAATGCATAGTCACACTTTTTGTCTACAAGTGGAGACAGCCTGCATGGCTTTTTCTCCCATCCTCAGATACAGTTTTGTCATCAGATTACTGTCAATATACAAGCTGTTTCATCACAAGTAAGTTTTTTTCTGTTTTGTTTTATTTAAATAGAAGACCATTTTGCTTTCACTAGTACTTCTGTTATCAATTTTTTTTTCCTTTTATTTACTATCTTTTTTTTTTAGTACAAAATGAGGTTTTTTTGTTTGTCGTTTTTTTTTGTTGGTGAATATTGCTTTTAGACAAAGATTATTTCTATTTGGAATATGTTGTGATTACAAAAAAACAGTCTGTTTTATTGTTTAACTGTGGAATCAAAAACATGATTCTTCTGATATTACATAATGTATTCTTCTATTGGTACAATTGGGCAGGTTGATATTTTTTTTTTTTACTTTTTAGTAAATCAACATTACACATGATGTGAAATCTGGGGTTTTATTTGCTAAATACTGACATCAAAAATTACATTCATAGCTTTTACCAATTTTTGAGCATTTTTAAATATTGTCTGAAAAATGGATAGAAATACCTAAATTTCTGCAGGTTTTCATTTACAAACTAACTTCAAAAGTTTCTCTATTTCAAGAATAAATCCAAATAAAGTTGGTATTTTTTGTATTAGATACACTGAATGGAAAATATATTCAACCTAGAATTCTAATTATGAATCACCACAAGCAAAATATGTAATATTTTTTTTTTTTTTTTTTTTACTGTATTCAGTCAGTATTCAAATTGAATGCAATACCACGGTTCCAAAACTGACCTACTTATGCATATGTAGTTAAAAAAAATATCCACAAGTTAATAAATTAAAAATATTGTATTTGGGTCCATTCAAGTTTTCCTTTATTATGTCAAGAATATTAACAATAAATTTTTATATATCAAGAACAATTTTAGGAGAAAGAAGTATGACAGTGGAAAAAGGTTTTGTGTGATACATTTCATCCTTTATCGGACTAAATTTATGTTTACATTGATGTGACTATACATGTGCATCAAAGTAAACAAATTTAGTCTGATGAAATATCTAAAGTATTTTATCACAAGACAATTACGTTTAACAATATATGAACAGTTAAATTATTTTTTCATTTATCTTTAAAAGAATTCATATGATAGGGATGTTGGCCCAATTAAGAAACTACTTTTAAAAAAATATTTGGTTATTTGACCAGATTTTGGAAAGTGGGTCAGGTCAAGAACTTTTTACTATCCCTTGTTATAAGTTGAAAAATATCTAAATTAAAAGACTTAAGAAACTATATATAGCACCAAGGACTTGTATGAACATAGCGGTTTATAGATAAAATATAGATATGTTAAGATATGTAAAATTACAGCTATTCCCCTATTTCGTTGGTTGATAATCGTATAAAATAATAATTAGGAAAATCTGCTCAAAAATTGTAAAACAGACTGCTTTGGTTCATGATTTTTTAAAACTTTTACCAATGTCCTGTTGGTGAGGCCATGTCAAAGTCAAGCTTTAACTATGTCATTTCTATCTTTGTAGAAGGTAGCTAAGTTTTATTCCCTCTGTCTTTTGTTAATCTGAGTCTCAAGTTTGATTTTAAAAAAAAAAAAGGTTGACTGTTTATGTTAAAAGAAAAATAAAAGAAGCCATATTTATTAACTCATTCACATGTGTTAAAAATCTTTTGGTTGAATGATAGTTTTTTTTTTCAAAATGTAGTCGAGAATCTGTTCCTCTGTTTAGTAATTCAGTTAGTGAAATGAGTTTATTACTAAGAAAATGATAGTTTTTTCTTTATTGTAAAATTATTGTATGTTCTCAATTTGATGTGATACTGGATAAAATGTTCATACACTGTTAACTGCAGCAATTCATTAATTATTCATGTATCAAAATGTTTTAAACAAATGTAAATTTTGAAATAGTATTTTTACCCTTAATTACATGACTCTTAAAAGATTTAACCTATTTATACTTAATCTAGCATATTTATTCCAAGCTCTTATCTATATATCTATTTGCTTGAGAAATTTCAGGTGTGAATTCCTAAATCGCTTATTAGATGATTGTATCTACGACTTTACCTGAATTTAGTGTCATTTTTCTGACAATTACCTATTGAATTTCTTTTTGAAAGTTGTTTAATCCAACTGGGGTAAAACTTTAAAGATTTAGAGTGTGAAATAGCCTAATCAGTAGGACATCAGCAAAATTTAAAAAAATCTAGGACCAAAACATTTGTCATGCCATTCATCTCCATGTCATCATGTCACTTTTAATGGAATATAAGAACTGAAAATAGTGGTGATTCTGAACAGGTTTTCTTAATTGTAATTTACTTTATTAGCATTAACTCTAAAAAGGTTAATAGTCAGAAATGAATGATGTTTTATCTATATTTATATGAGAAACTCTTGCCTTGTTTACATCTTTTTGTCATTATTTTTTGTTTTAGATATTTTTCAGTTTATAACATTAAAAAAAATCTAAATTTTTTTTTTTTTTTTTTTTTTTTTTTTTTTAGGATATATGAAAAATTTTATTTGTTTTCTTACTGTAAAATATTTAAGAAATGTTGTTTTCTGTATGTATTGGATAAGGATCAATCAAAATATAGAACTTTAAACCATGCAAATATACAATGAAGTTAGGCAATTAATTTTGTTAAATTAACATAGAATAAAAAAATAAAACTTTCACATGAATGATCCACTTATTCATTTCCCCTTTCTGTTATTCCTATTAGATTTTAATATTAAGGTTGGCAATTTCAATATCTTTTCATAATAAAATTTGAATTATGTTATCTTGAGAATATTCAGTGCTCAGAAAATATTTTTTTCTTTTTTTAACTTTTATTAAAATCTGTATATTTTTTAAATTTAAAAGTATTTTTTGTTCTTTAAGATGCATCCCACTTTACAAATCTGTCTAATGACCTATGAAATCTTATTGTCATGATTGAAATGTTTTTTTATAGGTAAACGTTTCAAAACCCAGGAAAAACTTTGTGATCTTATCAAATATGAATACATAATTACTCCTGTCCATCTATAATTCTAGTTTTACATATCCTGTCACTTGGAGACTGTTTTAACATGCTAATTATGAAGGCCATAACAAATTAGCATGTCTTTAGGGAATGTAAGATTTTAAAGTGTGGAGTTAGCAGCTATGGTTAAATGTAAAATAAATGAATAGCAAAACTGCCCAGCAAGAAGATTTGATAAAGTTTGCAATAAACAATTGCAAGAAAAAGAAAAGAACAGGGCAAAAATAGTATGAAGCAAGCAAACAATATATGCAAGGCAAATTAACAATAATGAGGCAAAGTTACTGTAATATGGCAAAAAGTTCACAAACCAAGAAATGGGGTTGATGCACAAAAGCAAGTTTGGACAAGCTGACATAGTGTTCTGATTTAAAGACAAGACAAACCAGGACTGAGTCAGATGAAACTGAGAACTGACCTATTTTCTGTGCATTTGTTTGCTTCTGCCTATAAATTGTGGAGGGGTAAGTGTTTTGTAGTCATTCCTACTGTGATTGGAATCAACAAAAAGTTAGCTGTTAACAAAATTCGTTTTAATATTGAAACTTGAATCCTTGATAACTCAATTTCCATTATTATGATATTAAATATTGCAAAATGATTTTTCTTTAACACTTTTTAGTCTGGTACTGTGATTTTCTTTGAAAAGGACAATAAAATATTAAATTTTAGGATAGTTTTTATCTTGGCGTATATTAAAGTTTCTTATGCTTTGAGAGGCCTCCACTACAATAAATGAATCTTTTACCTGATAAAGAAAGCCCATATAGGTAATTCTATGTGTAAGCATCTTGATTGACAAATCTATTTGGATTCAAAATTGACATGGTATGAAAAGTAAAGTATATAAACTAATATTGAAACTGAATAATTTCTTGACTATTTTGACTATTATTTATTTCTTTCTTTTTGTGGTTCTGTTTTATCTGTTTATGGTTTTATCTTTACCTACGATATATGCAAATCAGTAAATCCATAGTCTCTTGATTTGATACTATGGACACCCACGTAGAAGGGGGAAGAGGTGGTTTTTATCTCGATCTCAAGTTTGATGGACCAGCTGATAAATTCCTTTTGAAGTTCTTTCTTCTAAGTGACATCCACTTTGATTGATGGGGGAATGGTAAGTAAAGGGATTTTTGAAGGTCAAATGGTAACAAAACTGGTAATAGGTTATATCCAGGTATATTAACAGTCATGCTTGGGATTGTGTGGTGTGCTTGTCTGCCTTTGGTGGGAAACGAATGTGTCTGTATTGCAGTTCCAAAGCCTCCATTTTTGTATTCCCAGCCACTGTATTGGTATAATTAGATGGTCAAGGAGTTGGTAGGGGGAAGAGTGACATAGCAGAAATTGTTTCCAGTATCACCTACCTACCTAGCCAAGCAGGCAAATCCCTGAATAAAATCTCTATATCTAATATAGTAAACAGGGTTTGCATTCCTATTTTTCAATGTAACATTTCTTTCATGGTGATACCTTATGAGCATGCAGAACACTCTTCTCCAGCTTTCAGCAAACACTGAGATCAAGGATTGAAACGCAATGTGGTGGGATCACTTGCCTGTCCATGGAAATCTTGGGTGAGGGTTGCATTGTACGTTTACAATGATAAAAAAAAAAGTCATTTAGCATATATTTTATGCAAAAAAAAATTTTTCAACATAATATCCTTCTTGTCAATGCACACAATTCAGTGGAGGTGCCTTTGCATAGAACAATGTTTCCCAAACATTTTTTTCCCTGGGATGCATTTTCGGAATGAAAATTTGCTTGCGCCTCACCAAATTTTATGTGATAAAAAGTACATTTAAAACTAAAAAACAGAGAGAGGATTAGAGGGAGATAACTGTGGATTCGAAGTCAGAAGATTATCACTGATAACTTTCTCCTCCAATTTGTGGACCCTAGTTACTATATTCTTAATACTTGGTATAATGTAAAAATATTAGTGATAAAAATCAGTCAATAATTATTTATAACTATTTATACTGGGACTTATGCATGCAATTACAAGTAAATCATAATATTTTAAAATCATATTTATTTTTGGCATATGAATGTTTCTAAATCTTTGATTGTCTTTCAATCTTTCTGCTTCACTTGGTATCCTCTTCTGCTGCACCTATGAGGTGAACCACACTGTTTGGGGACCACTGGCATAAAATGATGATTAACAAGGCTAGTCTGGTTGACCATTACTACTGAATAGTGATTTTGAACCTCACTGGGTGTGCCATATAAAACTCTACATTAAATAACACAACAAAGGTTGACATATGATAAAATCAACCAACATAACCTAATTCAATGGTGACTACTAAATCATGTAGATGAAAGATTACACAGTGAAAATTTCATATCAAAATTTTGCTAATGACTATATATTAAGATACAGATTTATTGATCCACTCTTGTATCCTATAATTCTAAATGTGTTTCAGACATATTTGAATCTGTTTTATTATTCTATTTTTAATTTTTTTTATATTCTGAAGTTGGTATTTATTTTATTTTTTACTTTTTTTTTCTAGGAGTTCAAACATTGCTTGACAATCAACCTGACTACCATGCGGATCTGGTGTTATTCTTGTGAGAATGAAGTCTTGGTTGAACACAACAATCCACCACTGCTGTAATTGTTTTATTTATTTATTTATTTTTTAAATACTTTTTTTCTATCCAAAAATAGCCTCTAAAAGATAAGATACAAGAAATTGGTTGGTTCATTTCATATATGAATATAATTTCATAGACATGCAGTTGCCAACACAACCCTCTTCAGACAATGATTCTGAGGTCAGACATAGTTTCAGGGCTGAAGTATCATCACTATTACAGAATGCCCCTGTAGTACATTACAAACCACCAAACTTTATTGTTTTTTCTTCACAACATGAGAATGCCAGATAAAAATGCAGCCTCATCATATATTCTTATATTAACAACTTTTCAGTCAATGTTCATTGAAATTTATTAATTCAATGATATGAAATTTGGGTATGATGTTTTCAGCATATGCTAGGCCACAAAAATCTCCTGAGCCGACCAAGCATAGAAATAAATATAATATGGAAACCAGTAATAAGGAGTGCCAGAGAAAAGCTATGAAATGATAACAAAGTTGCAATATGAACTCTGGTAAAGACATGCAATGATAACAGCAAAATTGCAATATGAGCACTGGTAAAAAAATGTGCTGAAAACATTAGGTTTATAATACTCAGAAGTTCATACCCAGATGTCCTCAAGGACTGGCACAGTGGATAAAAGGTTGGTTAGATCCAGTGACAGACCCAAAGAAGGTGTGTTCAATACCTGGTTAAGGCAGTGGAGAACTTTCAGAGGGAAAATTAGCAGGAGATAACTGATAACTGACATCCATCAAACATGGCACGTGGAACTAGAACAGTCTACCCCAGTGATCGAAATAAAGGGTTCAGTTCGAAATTCCAACGTTGTGACAAATATGGCGACAAAGATTAGGTCCGACTAATGTAAATACTGTATCTTTTCTCATGTCATCTCAACTTTTCTGAAAGTCTTTAATTCATGTACAGGATGCTACAAGAACATATGTGCCATCAACTATGCCTTCATCAGACAATGACTCTGGTGTGAATTATAGTTTTGGAAATGATCTTTACAAAAAAAATTGAAAACCATTGGAAAATACCATAGTACACAGGATTCCTTTCAACTGAAACAATATGATAACGATATTGTTAATAACACAAAGGAAAAATTTAGTTCTCCAAGCTAAATTAAATTTCTCCTTTGTGTTATTAATGTTGTTATCACAGTGTTTCAGTTGATTTATTCTACAGCCTTATTCAGGGATATAATTCATAAAGAAAGAAATTTTTTTTTCTCTAAAAGTTAACAAAAAGTAGTTATTCAGATAACATGAGATATGCAAATGGTACTTTTCACTATCACCCATATAACTCAGGTGATCCCAATTTACACATGAAGGTTTCTCCTACCACTTCGCTGTTGAAAGAAAAAACACAATATACTGAAATCTATACTGGTCTGACTTACTGACAGTCTGATGCATATACAACTTCCTTCAATTTTTTCCCCCTTTTCCTGTTAACTAACAGAGCCTCAGCAAGGATAATGTATATGTTTCTCTCTCCAGATGATTCTACCTCGCTTTGGATATGGCTTTCTTGTGTTTCTTGAATCTGACTCAGAAATTTTAAGCCTGAAGAAAGTATTGGCTGAAATATAACCATAAACAAAAGAAATTCACTTGTCCAAGCAAATCTTCGAATATTAATGACTCATAGAAAATATTAAAACATAGCATAAACCCTACATAAACAACTAGCTAACGTTCTTCTCTAATCTATTAACTTTAAAATTATCTTGCTTCTTAGAAGTAACTCTTCGTTATACATTTAAATATTTTTTTTATGGGATGAGATCTGCTTTTTTTTTTTCTTTTTATGATTGTATATACAATGTTTTAAAAATAACTTTTTAATCATTTCTGATAATATTATTGTTAATCCCAATAGTTGGATTTAATGCTCTAAATTTAAATTTAAGTTGAATGTTATAGTGAGCATCTTGAAATCTAGAACATATTCACTGTAATTTTAAGATTAATCATCATGTATAGTGAGTTGGCAACAAGACATCTGGTAGGTTGCCTTGCTCTACATTTCAAGGACATTTGTGAGAGGGACCTGGAACTCAAAGGCATTGACTTTGGTAGCTGGGAACAGCTAGCAGATGATTGCAGTGGCTGGTGCCATGCTGTTCAAGATGAGTCATGAAGGGCGGGCAAAAAGTAAAAAAACAGTTGTTGGCAATCAGAAGAGAACACAGGAAGGAGAGAGCAATCTCATCTTAGATGACGGGGTTGGCAACCCCTGGCTCCCAGGCCACATAGAGTCCGTGAAAGATTTTAGTCCAGCCCACCAACTTAATTGTAACTCAACTCAGTTACTGCACTCTTTTTATTTTTTTTTTCTTCTTCTTCTTTCCTCTCCAGAAATCTTTTTTTTTTTTTTTTTTTCTGAACAAAAAAAAAGACAAGCCATGGAAAGTAAGAAAAGAAAAGTGGATTTTGAGTGCCAAAATTTTAACGAAAGCTGGATACTTAGCTATTTTTTCATTGAGCACTTCAGCAAATGTTTTAGCTTAATTTAAGAATCTATTGCCATTAAAGAAAGTTTCTCCCAACAAAGGCAGCCTTCTTGATGAAGTAGTCTGAGAACAAGATAATTTATTAAACTTTATTTGATATGGCCCTCCTCCGTGCCACTGCATAGCTCTTTGACCCACTCTTTTCAAAATGTTGCCAACCCCTTTCTTAGACCTTTATCTCACATTTGTCTGTTGCACCTGCAGAAGAGACAGTCATGCAAAGATTGAACTGTTGAGCCATTCCATATGATGTTCACAAAAGATCTGAATGTATATTGTTGTAATGGAATGTCCCATGCTCCCTACAACCTATGTAGACTGACTATATCAGTAGATATATATATAGTAAGCACAGAATATACCTGGTAGACTTGCTTCAGGAATTACTAGCTTGCTAACTGATTCCCTGTCTTTCAGCAGTGTATTCTCTTTTATAATAAACCTCTTTCTTTCATCTATGTCCGTGTTGCTGTTACTTTCACTCTTTGTCTGTTTGTAATCTCTTTAAGGATACAACATTACTAATACTAAATTATCATTCAAAGAAGTTTTTTTTTTTTTTTTTACAGTTGATCTTATTTTGTTTGTTGCTTTTGTTATCAGCAAAGATAGGATTGAAAAGCAACACCATGTACAAAATACAGGATTGTTTCTATGACATGTTTGTCTGGTTCAATTAATATATTTGCCATTTTCATTTTTGTTGGTTATCATTTTTTTCTGGTTTTGTGATAAACAAGACTTTAATTAAATCATCTTTACATATGGATGATACAAACAAAGGCTATAAAATGTATTGGCCAAGACGTGGTCACAGCAATACCAAGAAAAAAGAATGTATTTTTATGCTTTTGATTCCAAATCATTTAATATTTATTAGTATTAAGTAACATGCCTCCAATAATATCCTTATCATCATAAATTGTTTTTTTAATGTTTATAATTATCAGAAATCCATATCCACAGTTCAGAACATCAAGGATTAAAATTTTATTTTTGACTTTCAACATTCTATAAACATTCAATCTTTGTTATTTACATTATTCAGACTGTTGTCCTCCTCTTTGTCGTATTCATGTTTCTGCAGTTATAGACACTGGTCTTCTTCAGGTGATATACATTGGAATTTCCCCCAAGTATACATTGCCTAGTGGATAAAAGTGTTGATTGAAGTAATCCAAAAGTGACTTGACCCAAAGAGTTGCGAGTTCAATACCTGGCCACAGCAGAGGTGAACAAAAAACTGAAGAGTTGAGTTACTAAAGGGAATTAACTGAAAACTGAGATATCTAGAAAAGGCATGGCATGTGGAACTAGAACAACCTACCCCTGTAAACTAAATAAAAGGCTTAAAATTCCAACATATATCACATGAAGAAGTCCGGAGTATACAACAACAGAAATACTGTGAATATGACAATAAAGATGATGACAACAGTCCAAACAATGTAAATTGGTAAAATACCTCATCTCAGAAATATAGACGGATATCTAATCTTTTTTTTTTTTCTACTGTTTATTTTTTTATTTAATTCTACTGATTTTAATTTTTCTATTTTTTTAATCTGACAGGTTAAATGAACGAACATACCAAGTGATGCATCGGCCAGATGGTTCAACTGACAGCTCACCTCAACGAAGTGCTTTTGAGGCTGAAGATTCAGAATCAGATATGGATGATGACACTATCAAACCACGAGGTTAGTAAGAAATGTAAATTTTACTTTAAAGGTAATCTCACATCAGCATCATTAGTTATTTTCTAGTATTTATCTTTCATGACTAAGAGCTGGTAATATTTAATCAATTTTTCTAATTTTTAAATATTTACTTTTTTATTGTAATCTTAAATGATCAGCTTGTCTTGTTAGGTTAATAATGCTGGAAATTTTGTAATATTGCCTGTATGTTATATGCACATGATACTGATACTGGTTCTCATCCAATCACCAAAGTTAAGCAATATTGAACTTGGTCAGTATTTAGGTGGGTGACTGTTTGGGAATACCAGATCTGTAAGTTTTGATTTGTGGGTAGGGTAATGGATAAAGGTTTGGAATGAGAAATTGCAGAGCTGAGTTCTAATTCCAGTCAAGTTCGTTACTGAGTGCACATACCCTTGGGAAACGTCTGAATCCACCTCTTCTCTTCCCAGCTATGGGTTAAATAGTAATACTTGTATCAGAAAATCATTATTATTTCCAAAATATTCTGACAATTCAAAAATGTTACAACTTTAAATAATCTCAAAAAGATTGATGAGCTGTAGAAAAACAATTCAATCAAACCTAACCTCACCTATTAAATTGTAAGAAATATTTTAGGATTTGACTAAAAGTCATAAAGAAAATAATTTTTTATTAGTATTCATACATTTAATATTTGATCAAAAGACAGAAATGCATAAAAAATTAAATATGGGAAATAAACTTTTTGTTGAATTTATATTTCAAATGTAATTTTCTATGGATAAATAGTATTTTTCTCAAAATCATCCCTCAATATTTAATTCATTTTTATAACTTATATTATTAAGTGTAAAAAGAAAGGCATCTTACCCAATAAAATTGTCTCAGAAAAAGTGACTATGATGAAATATTTTGTAAATATAAGTTGTCATTAATGATTGTCATCATAGAATCCAATGGTGCCCTAACCCTTACAAGAAAAAATTGACCTGAATAACCTATGGTAGATCTCTTCTATGCAATAATTTGGCCTCTCTATCTTTGAGTTTATTTTAGATCTGAGAAGGCCTTTGAGTGAAGTTGTTTCTAATGTCCATTAAGCTGAATAAATTTGTTCATGAGAAAAAGTGATTTGCAGGCTTGATGAAAAAATGCTTGTTTATAATAAAAACAATGCACTTATTCATTTAGGATTGAATTTCCATAACTTCTGAATCAATGACTTCTTATACTCTTCCCAAAATTGGCTTGGTCAGTCCTCTAGTAGTTCCAGTATTGCTACTTTGTTATTCCATTTGTTCAGGTTGTTATTGTTATATTTAATACTTTTGATGATTTTGATTCAAACTTTGATTAGCTACCTATCTTTTTTTTTTACTCCAGGTCTGACAGGCTTACAAAATCTGGGCAACACCTGTTACATGAATGCTGCTCTGCAAGCATTGTCAAATTGGTAATTATTGTCTTACTTTCACATTCTGATAATGTTTTTCCGTGTCATTATTTTATCCATCATTTCATTGCATTTAATATATATATATATATATATATATATATATATATATATATTATTAATGTTATCTTTCTCATGTTGCAATTTCTTCATATATTTTTTTAAAACAATTTTAAGCTTTTCTATTTTGTCACAGTTGATATGATTTGTATAATTTATACAACATGCTCAAAATACAATTGTTTGCAGTACTGCCAAAACTTTTTGTTGCTGTTATTGGCATTTAAAGATTATAGACTAAAGCTGTGTTGTGATACCTACCTGATGATTCAGAATAAGTCTTTCTACAAGCAAAGTTTGGTTTACATGATTACTGGTGGCTCTGTAATAGTGTGCTGAATAAATCTTCTATGCCTCCTCTCTTCACACTTTTGAGATGTTAACATCTGTTGTTTTGCTCATAAATTCTCTTTAGATTCTACTCTTGATTCATCTAGAATAACTTTGACTTTCCACTTAGATCAAACTCTCTATTGAGTGATATGCATATAACTCTGTTCATGGTTTCTGCTATTATTTCTAAGCTGGATCCTCACAAAGCATGTGAACTTGATGGTATCCTTGTAAATATCTTTAGGAAATGTCTTCCTGAACTGTCTCTTGTTCTCTCTAAATTTTGTAACAAATATCTTGCTGTTTCTTGCTTTCATGCTTGTTGAAAAGTCTCTTCTGTAGTTCCAGTCTTTAAAAACTCGGGTGAGCCATCTGATCCTTCTCTCTGCCTATTAACCTTTTACCACTTTTTGGAAAAGTAATAGAGGCTCTGATTAACTTTGAATTGTTGAACCATCTCACATTGTAGGGTTTACTTTCAGATAAGCAATATGGCTTTCACTTCTCTAGATTAACTGCTGATGTGTTAATGATTTTTTTTGAAAGAGTCTTAAACTTTAGATAAGAATAGTGAAGCTTGGACTGTTGCTTTGGACATATCTCAAAGGCATTTGACAGGGTTGACATACTGGACATCTTCAAAAGTTTAAAGTTTATGGTATTTCTGGATTAATTTTTGAACTAATTCAGTCTTATCAAGTCATGAAATGAAAGTTGTTTTGAATGGCCACTCTTCTAGATTTTGCGTAAATGCAGGTGTTCCCCAGGGTACTATCCTTGGACCTATGTTGTTTTTAATTTTCATAAATGACCTTCCTGATGTCATCAGTTCTCAACTCGGTATCTATGCTATTTACTCCTGTCTTAGTAAGTCTGATTGATTCAATAAGAACAAATTGGCAGCTGATCTCAAAAATTATCTACAATCTATTGTTAAATGGGGCAAGAGTGGCTTGTTAATTTTAACATCTCAGAAATGAAACTACTCTCTTTTAATCATCTGAGAGAAACCGTCTTTACCTTCCATCAACATAGCTGATACTAACTTCCAGGAGACTGACTCATTGCATCTTCTTGGAATAATGTTTTCAGTTGAAATAAAGTAGCAAAAGCATATTGAATCAATTGCTAAGTTTGCAGCTAAGAAAGTTGGTTCACTCTATTGTGCAAGATTTTTCTTACATATTTATAAGTCTACCATTTGACTTGCCTTGAATATTGCTGCTACATCTGGTCTGGTATATTTAGAGATCTTACTTATTATAAAACGCAGATTGTGTGTGTGTGTGTGTGTGTCTGTAACGTTTATATATTGGATCGGATTTCCTACATTTTTCAACCGATTTCAACAAAACTTCACAGGACTACATAAAATTACCTTGTGGTGGTTCTAACAGCGCCAAAAATGGGAAAAATATAATTGTTTTTGCACAAAATCAATTTGAAAACATGATTAAGAGACATCGTGAAAATGGAAGGGGGACAACTCACATCGGGTTGTTTGTGTGTGTGTGTGTGGGTTACTTTAAATATGGGAGCGGATTTCCTATATTTTTCAGCCAATAAAACAAAACTTCACTATTTTTTATTTTTTTTTTTTTTTTTACAGGTTTTTTTATTCTCTTGCACACTTTTTTCTTTTATTTTTAACATTCAGAATGCTTTAAAAATTCCATTTACAAGACAATTATTTATAATAAAATTCTATTCAATCAGTAGACTCATAACGATTGAAAAACAATGTTTTTGTTTGGGTTTGACCAATTCAAAAAATAAAAAAAAAACTAATTAAGACATGCGTGTCCGTCAACCTTAAACAATAATCTTTGTCAATTTTATTTTTCAGTCTTTATGATGGTGGATACTTGATCTATCTCTTACTGTTATATCCCCGGGCAACGCCGGGCTCTACTGCTAGTTCTTTATAAAATCCAAAGAATCTGCAATGTTATTGGTCCTGATTGGCATTTTTTCTTCAGTTCCTTTCCCACCACCATAACATAGCTTCTCTGTGCCTTTTCTATAAATACTTTCATTGTAATTGTTCTGATGAACTTTCCTCTGTGGTACCTAGACATTATGAATTTAAGCACAGTACTAGATTGGTGGCTAGGTCTCATCATTTTACAGTTGAAATTGCTAGATGTAGCCATAAGTCCTATGCTAACAGTTTCTTCTCGCACACCTCTCGCTTGTGGAACTCTTACTTCTCAGTCAACTTTGATCTTCAAAAACTTAAATGCACTGTTAATTGTTGTTTTATCCCATTTTGTTGGGATGAACAAAAATGAATGAAAATAAGACAAGAAGTGTATTTTAACACATAATAAAATAACTTTTATTTACTGTCTGAGAACAGCAAGGATTAGGTTGGATTTAAACCATGAGTTCCATGTGCATGTCAGCTTGTCACCATATTGGATTCAGAAGTGCCCACTGCTTCTAGTGAAGAAGGGAAGTAACTCAATTGTATTTTGAGTTATTGTCCTTTATAGGGAGAGTAAGTTAGCATCCCCTAACAACTGTTATCTTTTGTCTTCTTAATTATTGTTTTTTTTTTTATTTTATTTTTTTTTTTTATTGTCCTCTCTCCTTAATAGTAGTTTTCCTCCTATTCTCTAACGCTCAGTAACCTCTTGTGTTCTAGTGGCTTTATTACCTTGCTTGGGGTGAAATGATAAAAAATACACTCCTAATATCATCATCATTCAGAGTATTTGAACTATCATTTACTTTTATCGTTTTTGTTCTCTGGACATACTGACTCATTAAGTTGATGGTCATAATTATTGCATGTTTGTGTGAGTTTGTACATTTCTTTGGTAACATTAAGTTGTATCTTTATGTTACATTAATTGAATTCCTATGTTATAGTTGAATGAATCATAGAATTCTTATTTTTAGTTAATGTCCAAGAACCAGAAGTTATAATAATTTACTTTTACTTCAAAACTGATCTTCTAATCTCAGTTGATTTAATCTATCATAGCTAGTTATCAGCCTGCATGTTTTGCAATAGCTTGTTTTATTCATTATAATGAAAGGTTGTGATAGATCAGGATGCTATTTTCATACACATATTTGCTATATACAGCAATACTTTTCTTGCAGTAAAATTTGCATTAGATAACCTAAGATAAACTCTCAAGTCTCTTTGCTGTTAATTTCTAACTTGATATTAGGATATAAGCAAGTATACAAAAATGATTACATTATATCAATTGATTTTGATGATACATTTATTAACTTCTTAATCATAAGTGAGAATTGTGAAGTGATGTACCTGTATATTGATTCCTCACACAGTAATTCTCTATTGCATTTGCAACTGATCCCAAGTGGTTACAGGCATTTTTTAAAGTCTTTACATTCATTTCTGCATCTTATAGAAATATGGAAAAATATTTGGTATACAATGACATTCTTGTTAATCATTAATAAAGATATTTTTTTTATAGGACTTCCTAACCTGTAGACTCTGAGAAGTATGGGACCACAGATCTCAACATGCTAAGTGTTGCTGCTGTGTGTTTCATAGCAGGGACGATTTTATGGGATGGAGTTGCTAGCCTCATGTCCAAACCAGTTTTAATTTAGAGTTTTTTTGTTTTTTTCCTCCTAGATTTGTTCCCAACTAAGACTGATGAGCCTAGTCTGCCCTATTATATTATAGGAATAACTATATAATTGCTTGTGCATGAAAATATTTGATCAGAGGATTTAATCTTTTTTCGGGAAATAAATTTTATATTTGTTTATTAACTGTAACATTAGTTTAACACAAATGTATTTTTATCGTTCATTTCTTTTTTTTTTTTTTTTTGTAGTCCTCCCTTGACTCGATTTTTTCTTGATTGCTCTGGATTTGTTCGACCTGACAGAAACCCAATGCTCTCTCGGCACTACCTGCGTCTTATCTCGGAGATTTGGCACAAGAAAAGGTCAATATTTGCTATTAAAATGATGTGAACATTTACTAACAAGTAAAAGTTGTGTATAGTGTAATTTTTAAGAAGTCTGTTTATAATAAATTATTATTTTTATAAATGAATGCAGTTTTATTGGAAGAGTTTCATTTAACTCCTTTTCATTTAATGATACGAGTTTGTAAAATTAATTTTTGAATTAATGGTATTAGTTTGTTATTCAAAAGTCTGTCCTAAATTATTTCAAATGTAAGGGAATTAATTTCAAATAAAATGATTCAACCTCAAAGTTTAATCTTGCTGTTTTTATGTTATTCTCTCAAATATTATTCATGCTATATTCTTTTTATCAGTATGTTTTAGTCTTGTTTAGTTTTAAACATGAATTCTTTGGTAAGAAGTAGTATAAAAAATAAGAGGTCATAAAAAGCTTTTTCCTTAAGTAACAGAATTAACATTTCAAATTAGATTAGTTATTTTGGTGTCATTAAAATTTCATTTTTATTTAAGTATATTGCTATTAGTTTTAACAGTAAAATATTTATTGCATAGCACTATCTCTGCCTGTCTCTCTATCTCTGCCTGTCTCTCTATCTCTGCCTGTCTGTCTCTATCTCTGCCTGTCTGTCTCTATCTCTGCCTGTCTGTCTCTATCTCTGCCTGTGTCTCTGTCTCTCTCTCTCTCTCTCTCTCTCTGTCTGTCTCTCTCTCTCTGTCTCTCTCTGTGTCTCTCTCTCTGTCTCTCTCTGTGTCTCTCTCTGTGTCTGTCTCTCTCTGTGTCTCTCTCTGTCTGTCTGTCTCTCTCTGTCTGTCTCTCTCTGTCTCTCTCTCTCTGTGTCTGTCTCTCTCTCTGTGTCTCTCTCTCTCTCTGTCTGTCTCTGTCTCTCGCATATATATGCTGAAGGTAACATCAGTCAGTTAAGTGACAAGTTTTATATATATATATATATATATATATTAAGAAATGGACAAGGTCCGACAATTTATTTATTAAAGACATATTTTTTATGTTTAACGTTGTTATTTTATAGATACAAGTCACTTGTATATATAAAATAACAACGTTAAACATAAAAATATGTCTTTAATAAATATATATATATATATATATATATATATATATATAATTTTGCTTAAAATTTCTTATTTTCTTTTGTGATCTATCTTTTAAGACCCAGTTATGTTGTACCTAGTGGCATTGCCAATGGAATCAAAGCAGTTCATCCAATGTTTAGAGGATATACACAACAAGTAAGTTATTTCTCATTTTTAATTCACTATCCTTTTGGTGGATATTTATATGCACCTGCTTCTTCTTTGTTCTTTTCCATTAACCAGGTTTAGTATTGAGCTCAAGATTTGTTTACTTGTAATATTCTTAAATTTTCATTTGGTTAATGATCGATGAAGTGATAGTTTAATATGGCCTGTTCTGTGAAGTATACTAGGACTATTTCCAGCATCTTCCACCTGCAAGTCAATTTATGTCTTATTCTTTATGCAAATCTTTAGTTTTTATTGTTGTATGTCATTATTAAATTTGTAGCACAGCAAAATTCAAACTTGAAATATTAGTACTTATTTTTTTTGCTATTGTTCACTGAACACAAAGCTCAACTCAAGGTAGTGTTACTGTGTAGTGTTGTATGAGCATAAAAATGGTAAGTGCAGTCTGTGAGGTTATATAGGAAAGATAATGTTTAACCCTAGTCTTGATGTGGTCAAGATTGTAACGATTGAGGAAAACATCCTGTTGGGAGTCTGTTCCATAATGCAGCAGTGGAACTTACTTCTTACTAATGACATACAAAGGGAGTGAGGATGATTTGTCTGTGTGTACATGGCATAGAGGATCAGGATTGGTGGAATCAAGGAATGTAGCTCATCAGAACACTTACCATGAAAATAGTGAAAGAACGGCAAGAGGCTTGCAATGTTTTGCCTGTTGGAAAAAGGTTGTAGGGTGGAAAATAATTAATCGCTCAAAGGTCATGTAGACGCTTCTGAATTCTATCAAGACAGTCAAGCTCCAATCTAGATATGGCAGTAATATTTCATAGAAATGTTTTTCTTATCTATTCATACAAGCAAGTAATATATAAGCAATATATTCATACCTTCAGTGTATCTAGGGCAAGATAGTCTGACAAAGCCCATCCTTCTTTAGGCTGGTTTCTGAATTCAGTTTTCCTTCTCTTAGACTGGTTGCCCTGCTATTTAACCCATTGCTGATAAGAGAGAGAGAAATCCATCCTTTACCCAAAACCATCTACATGTAAGTAGATGTAGCTACCTTGACTGGAATTTGAACTCCTCTTGCCAACTTCAAGCAACTAACCATTGCACTATCCACATATCCATTGACATACTACCTGCACATTTGTCATCTAATAGAGAATTAAATGTTAAAATAAAAAAAAAATCTAGGCTTTTTCTTCAACATGAAATATAAAATCAACATCTTTATATCTTAAGATAATAACAAATGATTATAAAGCTCATTTAACTCAGCTGGTGCAACCACTAAATATTTTCTGTAGCAATTTCTATTTGGGAAAACTGAATTATCAATATTATTTTATTAAAATAATAAAAAATGTGTTATGCAAATACTTAAAATACAATAGCAATATAATTAAATTAGTTGTAGACCTGTTTGTAAATCACATCTCTCTCTCTGAATCTTCACCAGAGAATTCTTTTAATATTATTATTTTAAATGTAAGCATTTTTACACATAATAGTGTATTACTGAGTAAGCTTTCAGTGTTAAGTTCCAACATTGGAGTTATCTTGTGTAGTATGAATATCTGAATAAATCAAATTTTGGGAGGCTCTTATGCACCAAAATCTGTAGTGTGTGAATAAGAATTTTGTGTTTACCAAGATAAACAAAACTATTTGTAATATATTTTTCATAAGACTTAGCATCAATATTTCTTTTAATTCTGATTATTTAATCACAATAATAGGTTATCTAGAGTAAATGTTTTGTTTTTGTCTATAATGATCGTAAAACTGCATCAAAGCCAATGTGAACCAGTCTTTGTAATTTGAATCACGGATTATTGTGAATCAAACTACCGTCCAGTGCAGCACAACCTGTTATAACTCAATATTGGTCAATTACTTTTCACAAGCAAGCTAGTAACTCTCCAGAAGGCCAAAAGCTGATAGATTCAGTTTGAGTTCATATATAGTGAAATCATTTGCGTGAGAAGCATAAAAATGCTTCAGTCAAGCCTTTCTGACTATTTCTAACACCTGCAATACAAGCAAGCTGATCTTGGCCTTTTTTTCTTCACTATAGTTTTAGAACAATTTGTATCTGAATAATCAGTTTAGTATGGATTGCAGTTAAGTGTTTGTCAATTGTGTAGATAAAAACTTTTAGATATACATTTATCCTAAACTATTCATGTTAAATGACTGATGTGGCTGATGTCAACGAAACCTTTAGTGCCAGAGTCTAACATCTCTTTGTTACTGAACTCTTCTTCAAAAATAAAAAAAATATTTTGGTAATTTAAAATTTAATTTTTCATTTTAGGATACTCAAGAATTTCTTCGTTGTTTTATGGACCAACTTCATGAAGAACTGAAGCAACCACTTGTTGATTGGGACTCTGGTAATAACACCTCTCTTATTACCTCAACTGCAGCAGCAGCAGCAGCTATGTTGTGCCATGAAGCCCTGCCATCTTCAGGGGGCCCCTCAGACAAGCCCTACATGAATGACCATGATAGGCAGTCATCTATAGACTCATCTAGCAGCCAATCAGATTATGAGACTTGTGATTCTGCTCATAGCAGTGAGCGAGGGGGTACTCCAGAAGTGAACTTGTCTGGGGATGAAGGCAGTGATACCAACGAACACACACAACTCAACAACAAAGAGAACCATTTTGTGAATAACAATAACAATAATACTGGCCAAGAAAACAATGAAAGTGACACCAACATTAACAACTTTCTAAATAATCAAAAGGAGGCTATCATAGCTAATGCAACTGAGCAAATTGAATCACTAAAAAGCAGCAGTATATCCTCTCCTGCTATGAACAAAGAATCTTTTGTACAAGCAAACCTTACAAATTGCACAAAGGAAATGAAAGATTCTGCTAATTTGCGCTGTAAACAGACTGAGGCCCTTATGGCAGGTGGCACAAATGCCTCCACAACAGGGCAAGACGAAGGGTCAACACTGGCCAATATGGCAACCAGCAGTATTTCTGCTGCAGAGTTTCAGGATGCTATCAGTGATGAGGAACATTCCAGTAAAGTGAAGAGTATGCCATCAACATTGCGGGGAAAATCACAAACACAGCAGCAATCTTCCAAATTATCTGCCAGTGACAAAGGTAAGTGTTTAGAGCAGATTTATAGCATTTTATTCAAAAAGAAAACAAACTTGTAATGCAGTACATGAATATACACATTGCAAAGTGAATTTCTACATTTACATACATTGGTTATTTAGATTTCTCTCCTTGCTGCTCAATCTAAAATTAGTTTTTTATGTTGAACTTGATTTATTATTTATCATGAATCTCTAACTTTGGAGAATGTAATTAATGCATGTGTGATGGTGTAATGGATAGCAGCTCAGATTGGAAATTGGAGAACCTAATCCAAATTCCATTTATGTTTGTTACATTCACTTATGTGTAAATACTCTTGGGGAAAGATATCAATCAATCTCTTATATCCCCTGTCTATGGGTAAAATACCAGGACAGGCTGGGCTCTATAACCATGGTTAGCAACCAGTCTAGAAGAAAAAAAAAAACTCTGAATTCAAAAGATGGTCTCCATCAGGTGGTCTTACCCATGACACATCACTGCTGCTACATCTACCACTACATATAGTGCTCCTATGACCCTAATTGGTTATGGGACTTGAGATTTTATATATGTGTGTGTGTGTGTGTGTGTTCACTTCATGCTAATACTCTTGGAAAAAGCATGAATCTTCTTGCAGTAATGGATTAAATAGATGGACAGATTTGGCTCTCTGGCCTTGATTGGCAACCAACCTAGGAAAAGGAAAACTCTGAATTCAAAACTTGAGGAGGGCTGTTTTGGGGATCTTATGGCACACTAAGTGTACTAGTTGTCTGTATTCAGTTTTTCCAAAAAGTGTGTTTGGTTCTACACGTGCTTTCACTATTAAAATCATCTGTGTGGATAGCATAGACTCTCATATATTAAAATTGACAGAATCCATTGTGTGTGTGATGGAAAGAAACACCTTATATTGTAAGTTTGTATTAAACATGAAAGAAAATGATATGATCTTTTAGTGCATTAAATAAACTCTGAAAATTTCAAAGAAAAGATTGCTACATATTTATATGGTTAAATTAGGTACCTCCACGAGATCGCTAAAAAAAGAGCATAGCATGATGAAAAAGACGCCAAACTTGACGAAAACAATATTTTATCGTCTAAATGTTTGTTATTATTAAGAGGAAAGGTCAAAGTATTTTTTTGGGGTATTTTTTTCCATTTTTTAATCGTTCTAGCACGTCCGAAATTTTCGTTAAAAAATCTAGTTTTTTTTTTTGAGTCAGCAAAATTGACCATTTTTTTCCATTTTAAAAAAACTGGAAATCTGACTTTGAAATTTTTTTAAATATCAATTATCATTTTTTCAAAACTTATTTTAAGAAAATCAGAAATTATAATGTTTATTTAAAATATTTTGAACCAAACTTAACTTAGCTTTTTGTGCCAAAAAGATGTAATTTGAAAATAAAACAAAGCAGGTCATAAACTTTCGCGTCTCTTGACATGTGATGAATGATATATTTACAATTCCATGAGGCTAATTTGTTCTACGGAAGGAGAAAAAGTGAAATAATTTACATTTACGTGAACAAATTATTTACCCAGTTATTTTTAACGAAAACTTTCAGTGGTCTAATTTTTTTTTTTTTTTTTTTTTGTACTTAGCTTTCACCTTTACGTTTATGATGCTTTATGGGAAATATATTGTAAAAGAAATTAAAATAAAACTGTTAAGAGTGACATTAAATTTCATATTTCTTAAAAAGGTATCTAATTAATTTATAGGTACCTTTCTTATGAAATTTTATCAAATTGTACATAAAATACTATAATTTTATGTACATTTATTACATTCTACTGTTATTTGTATTTGCATTCATTTTATTATTAATTTTGATATTTCATTTATGGAAAAATGTCGTAACTGAGATTAATATAAAAATAAGATCATATAAATTTCATAAGATGATACTGATACTTGTAGGTACCCTTCTCAGTTGAAATTGAAAAATCAAATTAACTTCCCCACACGTGTTTCATAAAAGTAAAGGCCTTAACAGCGGAGAACAATGCTTAACTCAAATAACGCAAACAATTATATTCTGGTTGGTCTTCCGTATTTTATAATTACAGCTCGATTATAAGCACAAAATTACATTTCTTAATTACTGGGTATCTTCTGGTTAGTCAAAATGATACAATTTACAACGCTAAAAAAAGATCTATCTCATAAGGACACTTATGAAAGCCGATGCAGCTTTTTAACTAATTTTATAATATTTTAACAACTTAAATGTAAAATCTATTATAATTAATGAAATAACAAATAATTGTATTAAAAATTCATTTTTCATCGAAAAAATTTTTTTTTGCTCAGAAAATATTGTCCATATTCATAAAAACAACTAAAAGCAAATAAAAGCATTTGAAATTAAATAATATCTTTGTTTTATTGAGTTTTGTATGTTACAATTCAGAGCTGATTTTCAGGTACTGCGTATCCAAATAAAAACAAAAAAAAAACATGATTTGCATTCCTCAAAGCCCTGTGCTTTTAATTATTGTAATCACTAAAACCGATGCGATCAATTTCTAGCGTTTTCATAAAATTAGTTAGGGGGGTAATAAATATTTAAAAAAATATTTCTACCATGACTTTCATAAAAAAACATATTTATAATAATTTCGATCATCTGTGAATAGTTCCTGAAAGTTTCATTAACAACCGATAATTATTTCTATTTTTGCACGATTTTTCAAATTAATGTGTGTCATACCAAAAAAACATGCTAAAAATTGTCTGTTATTTACTAGTTCCGCTGATACAAATAGAAACAAGGTTTTTTTTAATCAAAATTTAGAATTTTCTAAAAAGAAGGAAAATTTTTTAAAATAATTAAAAAAAAAAAACTTTGGTCTTTCCTCTTAATAATAACATAAGCATTTAGACAATAAAAATTTGTTTTCAGCAAGGTTGGCGTCTTTTTCATCAAGCTATGCTCTTTTTTTAGCGATTTCGTGGAGGTACCTAAGTTAAATATTTGAGGTATATGATGAACATTAAGATTTTAGTAATTTGTGAAAAGATGTTCATGGTGCATTTACCTTTTTCAGATTCTTTTGTACTAATTCACCTTTTTTCCTTAGTTGACTGTGTTGCAACATTTAACAACATAGTATAAAACTCACAAAAAAATAAAAATAGTAAATTTTCACAATATTTGATGGTCATGCAGGCAAATTTGGTAAGTAGCATCAGATGAGAAAAATTGAAAGAAATTTAACAAATATAAACAATCTGAAGAAATCTTTAGGACATTCATATCAGTTAAATGAAAGAAATTTATAAAAATATTCTATTGTTTGTTTTAGTATTAAGTTTTTATTTTTCATATTTTTATTTTATATATATATTATATATATATATATATATATATATATATATATATATATATAAATAAAAAAGAAAGAACAGTAAGATATAAAATCCGTTGTTCTTATAGATATTTTTATTTTTACAAAATAGTGCTCAATGTAAATTTACAGAGCATTAATATTATTAATTTATAATATATAAATATATATATATTTATAGGGTGCCATGGGTAAATTGTCATCATTTTTATATTTTTAATTTTGCGAATTCATGTTGTATGTTTTTGATTTTGTTGACTGCACAGTATAGTAGGATTACTTGGACACCATCTGTAAAAAAAAAAAAAGAAGAGCACCATGATGCAGTCCACCAGCAATTTGGAAACCGCATGCTGTGTGCTGCTTGACATTTGTGCCAGAAGCTCCAATATGGACATTTCAGAGTGTTTGAATTTCTACACTGAGGGTAGTGCAGAGGATTTAGAAAGAGTTAGATGATTCAAATGGTGATTATGAAGGTACAGCAGCTTGGAAAACTCACTTTGAATATTCTGGTAAGAAAAGAACTGAATTTGTTGATGAAGGCCTCAGACGCAACAAGGAGGTCTACATCAAGTGCCTTGAGGAAGTAATGCTGCCCTGGGTCAAAAGGGTGGCTGCTAGAAGACCCTATGTCCAACAGCTGCATTCTGCACCATGTGACACATACAAGCGAACCTAGTCATGACTGTTAGACAATTTCTGTAACCATATCACTCCTTACATCTGGCCACCTGACTTCCCAGACTGCATCCCCCTTGATGATTATGTTTGGGGCACAGTTGAGCAAGAGACCAACAAAAATCCTTGTAACACCAAAGATGGAGTGAAGGCAAAGATTCTGGCAGCATTCACCAACTTAAACAAAGAGACCATCCAGAAGAGTTGGAAGAAATTCTGGTTGTCTGGAGTCTGTTGTTAAAGCCAATGGCAATTTTATTGAATAAATTTCTTTAGTATTTTTTTGTAATTTTGATTTAGTATTTTAAGATATTTTTTTGTAATTTTGATTTAGTATTTCAAGATATTTTTTTGTAATTTTGATAAACATAAAATGACATGTCAGTGTTATTTCCATTTTTGTGTAATTTAGACGACAATTTACCCACCGCACCCTGTATGCATGTGTATGTATATATATATATATATATATACACACATACACACACCATGTATCATGTTATTAATGCTGACTTCCTGTTATTGATCTGCTGTCATTTTAATGTTATGGCTGACCAAATTGCTTTTATTTTATTGCAGACTTTCATCAACTATTAGCTTTCATAACCAAGTCTCCTATCTTTTTTGAATTTCTTTTGAGATGAAACAGTGTCTCATTTTATTTTCGCTCTTTTTCCTCTTTCCTTGTTTGGAGAAAAACAAGGGACCCTCTACTGCTCCACTTTGTGGTGATGTTTTTTTTCTTTTCTATTTTACCTTATATCCTATTATTTATCTGTCTAAAACAATTGATAAGTACATTGTTCTTTTTTCTTTCTTTTTTTTTTCCACTTACTAAATACTGATATGAAAACTTGAATGCTGTGCAGTGCTTATCACACAGATTTCACAAGCTATTGATAGTTTGATCTTTATTGATTTTCTCGAAATTTGGTATAAGGATCTTCAGCAGTTGGAGAAATAGTAGTTACTGACATCATTTACACTACAGGGTGATTGAAAAGTAACTTCCTATTTTATATATGAGTGGCCAGTCTGGAGTCCTGACTTAACACCCTGTAACTTTTTCTTTTCCATTCATTTTATAATAATAATCTTAAGTTGTCCAAATTTATTAGACAGAGCAATGTCATTAATTTTTGACAAGTTTTCTTATTTTTGTTGCTTTTTATTGCAACACACATGCCATTTTTTTTTCTTTTTACAATAAAAAATTACCTTCTGATGAGATTTGAATTCACAACTTTTGGATACTGGTAACAAGGAACAAAAATAAGATGTACAAAAACAGTTAAAAAATTAATAATGAAAATTATTTTGTATTAATTTTTTTATTTCTTCTTTTTTTTTTTACATGGTATTTACTGTATTATTTATTTTCTTTAAGCCAAACGACCAGTTACACATCAGAGTGTGATATCAGACATATTTGATGGAAAACTTTTGAGCTCTGTTCAGTGCTTAACATGTGAGCGGGTAAGAAAAGTTTTTCATATGCATAAGCAATGTATATTTGCATGTTATATATATTGTTTCATTTCAATTTTTTTTTTTTTTTATCTGCTTTTGTATTTTTATTGTTTTCACACTTACACATAGCCACTTTATATTTTCAACTTTTGTGCCATTTTTGTAAGCAAAATACCAACCAGATGCTTAAGTATTTAGATAATTTGTGTGCATTTGTAAGACATTCTCTAGAATGGTAAGAATTTTGAATTCAATCTTTGATGGTGAACAAAAAAAAAATTCTTGTAAATTGTGATTTGGCACCATTGAAACAATATACACAAATCAGTGTTAAGATGACATTAAACTTATTCTGTGTAAGTATTACAAACATGAAAAATTTCATCTTGTAATATAGGGTTGGAGTTATAAACAAATTTTTTAGAGCTATCTTCAGAATATAATAGCAACTTTTTTTTTTTTTTTTTTTTTTTTTTCGAGATATTAATTCCTTGAAAAATGTTTTAAGCCAATTTATGCATTTTTAAGGATCTGTTTGGGTGAAATCAGATTAAGAGGCTAGAAAGAAGTCAGTTTTGAAGAAAATTGCTATTTTTCAGTTATTATATCACTGTTGTAATGATTATCAAAAAAAGTAAAAAAAAAAAAAAAAAAAAAAAAGGTGATTAATTTTTAATGGGTTAAAAAAATTGAATGGCATTGTATTGCAGTTCAGTCAAATATTACCCTTACAAAATTTGAAAAATATTTGCCAAAAAAAGAACATGGTCATATATTTTTATAGATTGTTGAGAAAATAGTACTAATATTAGTCATAACAAAAGTTGTTGTAATTAGTCATTTTTTAGACCAGATTTTATTCCTATATGGAGTATGGCTAATGTATAATTGAGAGAGAAAATTAAGTCTGTTAAAAAAAAATTTGAGATGCATCTCCAGGTTAATTATCATAAATAACACCAACTAAAATATTCTACATATATTTTTTTTATATAATGACATCAACAGAAATGTGGAATAAAAACATTGAACACGCATCAGTCACCATCACAAATGCAGGAAAAGCAGGCTATGGGAATAGATATCCATTAATTGGGTTAATAAGTAACAGATACTGACCTTCAGAAGATTATTTTCAGCATGATAGTCTAAACAATAGTTTATGATTATAAACTTTTAGCTTATGAACTATTGCATTTTCATGTAAAATGCATGAAACCTCTGGTCCATACCCTCATCACTGGTGGATCCTCAGATGAATTGAAAAAAATTGTCTAAAACATCATTAGTTGCATGATTTCTTTAAAAAAAAAACAAAAACAGAGCTAGTCAGTAGATTTCTTGACATGACCCTGATACCTCCAGCCTCTCCTTATAATAGAAAAGATGAATATCTTTTTAAAGGTTCTCGTAGTTGTTTATTCAATATCATTCTTTTCTCTAAAGTTTATTGGGAATTTGTTTTTGTCAGATTTCTACAACTAAAGAAACCTTTCAAGATTTGTCTCTCCCCATCCCCAGCAAGGATCACCTGCACATGCTACATGCTAGTCAGAGCTCAACCTCAAAAGGTGGAGCATGTGGAGAGGTGAACCAGGGCTGGATTGCTTCTATGCTTACATGGATAAAGAGGTAAGTATATAAAGTTTTGTTAACTTTTTCTAACAAATACATTCACGGATGATTATATTTTTGTCTTATCAAAGCATAATTTTATGATAGTTTTCTAAAAAATAAATCTTTAAGCAAAGTTAGGAGTTTTCTTAAAATTCAGTTTATAGCCTATGAAAATTTCATAGTTCATATTTGTTGGGAAAATTTTTCTGATCATCAAAGATGAATTATGAAATTAATTGAAAGAAATTAAAATAAATTTTAATAAGCCAGATGAAAACTAACTTATTTATAAATTATAACCAAAAAAAAAAAAAAAAAAACTCCAAGAAGCCTAATTTAGTTTCTTTTACTTTGAAAAATTCACATTTTGTATATAACTCTTTTTTTATTTATTTATATATATATAAAAAAAAATTTCATAATATGACATGGATACATTCACGAGACATTTCCACCACACTTCCAATGTTTAAATTTCAACATTTCAACATACAAATGCGTATGTATAGACATAACACCACCTGTATACATACATGTGTCATAGCCGAAACTGTCTACATATGTTTATATATATGTATGAGTCCCGACGGACGACCAAGTATGTATATGTGTCTGCATACATCGATGTTTGCGTTGGTACAATGAATGACAAAACGACCAAATTTCCTCCACTACTTCCACAATAACACCAATACACGCAATCTACATAAACCCAAATTTTTTAAAACATTAATCAGTTTGTCTGACGATCGCTAAAGCGTGAAACCCAGGGTCACAAACTCACATCTATCCAAATATATATATATATATATATATATATATATATATATATATATATATATATATATAATGCTAACTCACCAGTTTGCCATTATCATTCCTCAAGCTTGATGAATCTTGTCAGTGGTAGAGGTTAACAGGTGTTCTGCTCCTTCTTTGTGGGTCACACTTGTGTTGCCACTTTTAAACTTCTTGGTCCACTCATGCACACTTCTATGCAATAGTGCACTGTTGCTGTATTATATTAAAAGCCTCCAATGATTTTCATTCTCTGACATGCCTTTCAACCAGAGAAATCTGGTAACTGCTCTTTGTTCACTCCTTGGTGCACACTTCTAGTGGATCAACCATGTTTGCACTGTAACAGTAGCAAGAAAACTGGCACAATCAAGCTCAATTCGATCATGTGATCACAATAGTGCAAACTATAAGCACGCATGAGTAGAATGTAGGGTGACAAGCCTAAAGATATGTTATGGTGAAAGTGTGGATAATTATTAACTTATCCTTGTATCATTGGATAACTTGACTCCTTGTCATTCTATTAATCTTGTGAATTCAGAATTTATTTTAAATTAGTGCACACCACTGTACAAATATTGCAGGTTAATGAATAAATAATATTAGTTGGTAAGCTTTCTTATTTCTAAGTGGCTATAGTTTTGTAAAAGTTTGGATAATAACAAAATTATTGGTTGCTAACATTTAAAATATAGCAAATATATATTTCAACTTAATTTCAATCATATTACTAACAATTTGTATTGCAAGAATTTCTTAAAATCCTAAAGTTGTGGATTCTATCTGTAAGGAGAAAATGACAAAATTCAATCTTGTCACTCAGTAAAATTTGGTAGGACAAAATTAAAAATCTTTTTGAAATATCTGCTTACATGCACATATACACAAAAAATAATTTTATACTATGAAAGGTTTCCCTCTGCTATTTACTTTCTATGCTTTCTTTTATCTTATTAAAATTTCTTTAGTTTTATTTTTCTTAGTTTTTCCTTTATTTCTGCAGCTGGTTTGTGGGGCCAACAATCACTTTACAAGACTGTTTAGCAGCTTTCTTTTCTGCTGATGAACTCAAGGGAGATAATATGTATAGTTGTGACAAGTGTAAAAAGTAAGTTTTTCTTTACTCTTGTTTTTCTACTTAATTTTTTTTTTGTCTCCATTTCCCATCTTTTCATTGACATGTAAACTTTAACTCTGCTGTTTGCTTTCTTTGCATTCCCTTTCTAGATTACGGAATGGTATGAAATATTCTAAAGTAATGCGGCTACCAGAGGTAGGCACAAAAATTACATTATACTAATCAAAATTATCCTCAGCTAATTATTGGCATTTTCTTTATTTTAGTTCATTTCTTTTTGTGCTTATGAAACATTATCAATAGAAGAGTTATTTAAAATGATTCAAAATACATATCCTTGAGTTAGTTTTTTGCAACTTTTAACTCTTTATACTATTTACATTGTTTGGACTGTTGTCCCCATCTTTATTGTCATATTCATGATATTTTGGCCTTTGTACACTCCAGCCTTCTTTAGGTGATATATGTTGGAATTTTGAACTGAACTCTTTATTTCATCCACTGGGATAGATTGTTCTAGTTCCACATGGCCCAGTGGATAAAAGCGTTGGTTGAAGTAATCCAGTGACTTGAACCAAAGAGTTGTGAGTTCAGTACCTGGTCACGTCAGAGGTGAACAAAAACTTGGAGAGTTGAGTTACTAAAGGGAATGAGCTGAAACTGAGATATCCAGAAAAGGCATGGCATGTGGAACTAGAACAATGTACTCGGGTGGATGAAATAAAGGATTCCGTTTGAAATTCCAACATATATCACCTGAAGAAGGCAGGAGCATATAATGGCCGAAATGTTGTGAATAAGACAATAAAGATAAGGACAACAGTCTGAACAATGTAAATAGTTACAATACCTCATCTTGGAAATATAGACAGAAATGTTTAGCTCTGCAAAATTATCACTTGTTGACATTGGCTGTTCTGGAAGATGAAATGATTGGTTCACATGGACCATTTTCTATAGTTGTTATATTTGCTGTAGATAGTGCCTTCTTGTGAATTCTTGTCATAGAGTTTAGATTTATTGTTAGATCAGTTGGCTCTATTATAATATTATTAGGGAGCAAAAAGAAAAACTATTTGTCTTGACTTTTTTTGAGTGATCAATAATTTTATTTCAATTGATGAGTATTAATTTTAATAATCATGCAATTATTAATTGTACCCTAAAATGTGCTATAAATTATCTTTATACAAAATATTCAGTTGTTATTAAAGATAATTACATAATGATCATTTGAAGTACAAAGTTGATCATTTCAATTTATGAAGATGAATGTCTTGATTTACTTTGTTGACATTTCACAAGTGATTATTTTAGTTTATGCTCTTCAATCATGTGTTTTATTAATTGTAGATCTTATGTATTCATCTGAAACGATTTCGGCATGAATTCTACTCCTCAAAAATTAGTACCTATGTATCTTTTCCCTTAGAAGGGCTAAATATGAAATCCTACCTCCATAAAGGTAAGTAATAAATGTTTATTCATTTGTGTGTGCATGTGATTGTGTATATATAAAGTTTAGACATAAAAATATAAACTGTATGGTGACTGTCAGTTTTACTCTACAATGTGATCTTCATATCAAGTACTATTACTAAGACAGTGCAAGATAAGAAAACCAGCCATTACCATCAGTTTCTTTTTGTTTAAGGCTCTAGCTGAGTGTTATGGTCATGACCTGTAAATTCCAACTTGAATTCCAGCCATGCTCAACTTGCAAAGCTCAATAAATGCTACTACTATTCAAATGGCACAAAAACAACATCTTACTTATTATAAAACGCAGATTGTGTGTGTGTGTCTATATGTTTATATATTGGATCGGATTTCCTACATTTTTCAACCGATTTCAACAAAACTTCACAGGACTATGTAAAATTACCTTGCGGTGGTTCTGACAGTGCCAAAAATTGGAAAAACACAATTGTTTTTGCATGAAATAAATTTGAAAATACGATTAAGAGGCATTAATGAAAGAGGGACAACTCATTGTGTTATACTTATTAATATCGAGTTATCAAGTTATACTTATTATAAAACCCAGGTTGGTTGTGTGTGTGTGTGTGTGTGTGTGTGTGTGTGTGTTCGTTTATATATGGGATCGGATTTCCTACATTTTTCAACCGATTTCAACAAAACTTCACTTTTTTTTTGGCAGGTAGTATTTCTTATTGTCATGCACACTTTTTTCTTTATTTTTACATTCAGAATGCTTTAAAAATTCCATTTACAAGACAATTGTTTACAATAAAATTCTATTTAATCGATAGACTCATAATGATTGAAAACAATGTTTTTGTTTGAGTTTGGGTTTGACCAATTCGTAAAAAAAAAACAAAAAAAAACTAATTAAGACATGCGTGTCCGTCAACCTTAAACAATAATCTTTGTCAATTTTATTTTTCAGTCTTTATGATGGTCGATACTTGATCTATCTCTTACTGTTACATCCCCGGGCAACGCCGGGCTCTACTGCTAGTCTTAAATATGAAGAGAAATTAATAATTCAACAAAATTTTTAAAAGAAAAGTTGCTGCCCAAATATACATTTATTTTTATATACATACATACATACATACATACATACATACCACACCACATGTTGTTAATTGGTTCCAGAGGTCATGACTTAGATTGAAAAACAACTTAAGTTGAAATGACCAAAACTATAAACTGCAAATAAGCACTCCCCACTGTATATTACAGTATTTATGATATGTACGTACAGTATTCTGAATAAGATAATTTATTGGTGATATAGCCTTACAATATAGTCTTAAAGACTGCTAAATAAGACAACAACATAGTCACAGATGTTTTCATATTTTGTTCTCTAGGATTTATGACGATTATATTAACATTTACTGTAAATGTACATATTTTAATATGATTTTATATACCTTTTTTCTTATTTATTGTACAGTAACATGATTTTATGTGCCTTTAACGCTTTTCTTGTGATATTACAACTTCAATATTTGTGGTGGACAGATGAAAAATCGAATAAAATGACTTGATTTTTATTTTTCCATATATTTTTTGGACAAATGACATATTATTGAGAACAACTTAACTCAAAACAACATAACCCAAGATATACCTGTACATATATTTTATTCAGGGTTCATTCAAATGCATGAAAAACATATAAAGCAAATAAATGAATACTATAAATAAAGATAGAGCACACACACACACACACACACACACACACACACAATATATATATTCGACAATATTGAACACTCTTCTATAGATATAGCAAATTTTGAAGTAGACATTTGATAACATTTTGTATAGTATGTTTTTATGTTTATTCATTTGACATAATAATCTACATTTATTCTGATAATATTATTTTTAGTGTAATTATTTTTAATATATGCTGGCTTAAAATGGTTAATTTAATTTTGTCTCTTTTCAGATTGTCAGGATGAAGTTACGTCATATGACCTAATGTCTGTGATATGTCACCATGGAACTGCCGGAGGTCAGTAGTCTCTCTTTGAAACATTTTTATAAAAGCTTTAATAGGATACATATATCATACTTTTGCATGAAATTTAACCCCCAACTAAAACTATATTTACAAGACAAAGGTGTTACCTTCTGTGCCAATACTTAAATAAAACTGGCCTCAAAAACCAATGGTTATGCTGTCAACTGTAATGAGATTGGAAATACTTCTGTTGAGTATCAACTTGATTGTAATCTGTATATAGATTATCTACATTGGCATCTATTACCAACTATTTTTTTTTTCATTTCTAGAAATAGTCATATTACTGCCAGAATTCTGCCATGCATCACTGGCATATCTGCTGTCTTTATCATTAAAGAGTCATTTTATTATAGGTTTGATTGAATTCCTGTGTAGAAATTTTTACCCTACCTGCAAAGCCTGCATTAAGCAAGATCTTCTACCACTTAGTTTTGCACTAAGAGGTTTCTTTTTAAATATGAATCACATTTCCATATAGCACAACAGTAAACATAAATTTTCTATGAGTCTCTTATTTTAATTTAAAAAGAATGTTAATGATCAGGGTGCTAATCATGCAAATCATAAATAGTAAATTGTACCAAACTTAGCCAACAAAATTGTTAGTGTTATTATTTTTACATTTTCATTGCTAATTTGAACATCATTGATCAATAAATACATAATTTATCCTTAAATGGATTACAACAGTATGTTGGACCTTATTATGCAAGTCGATATTTTCTCTGAAATTGTTATTAACCAAACTGTTGGTAAAATTTTTAGGAATGTATTTATATGATAAATATAACGTTAATTTCAGCTTATAATATTGTGCAGGTAGTGTAGAGGATATTGGTGTGGAATTGGCAAGCATAATTCAAAACTTGGATTAGTCTGTTGCATTCATTTTTGCACAAATGTGCTTGGTTCAGTCTTTATTTTTGTCTCTTTTCACAGTTATGGGTTAAATAGCAAGGTAGACTTATAAATAAAAATTTATCTTGCATTTAGTTTGTTTGCATAATAAAACCTGACACTTTCAAAACAAATTTTATTATGCAACTTGAGAGTTATTTATCATTGTAAAAAAATTGTATAGTTATTGATATTCTTGGATTTCATCTATATAAAATTTGCTATGATTCAGAAGAAAAATATGACCTCAAAAAAGAAACCAGATATTATAAAGATACTGAGTGATGGGAACACATTTTTAATTTAAAAAGAATGTTAATTAGAACATCAAAAAAGAAATTAAAGAAAGATTGCAATATAACAAGAAAAGCTGGTTTAATAATGTGACAAAAAGTGATTTTAGAAAAATGAAAAGAGTAATAATGGATATGACAATGGAAAACAATGTTCCAGAAAAGATTTCTGAAATGCAGTAAAAATTGCTGCAAGTAATGTTAAAGTAGAAACAGTAGAAAATTTAAATCAATGAATGAAAGACTGATGAAGGTTCTAGAATATCAGTGAGTCTATATTAACATGTAAAAATAATAGTGTGATAATTTATTCAGGTATGTGTTAATCAAATTTGTTTCTATAGCCTATATATTTTGTAATTATTTATATTGCACATAGTTTGCATAATAAAACCTGACTCTCTCACCAAACAAATTATTATCAATATTTTTTTTAATAAGAATAGATATTATAAGCTGAAACTCACATGATATATTGCTCATATAAACATGTATATCCTGAGACTTTTACCAAGAACAGTTGGTTAATACTAATTTTGGGAATATATTGACTTGCTTTATAAAATCTGACGTGTTTTAAATTTTATCTCTTTTTCTGTGCTTTTCTTTTCCTAGGTGGTCATTACACTGCTTATTGTCTGAACTATATTAATGATCAGTGGTATGAGTTTGATGACCAGTATGTTACTGAGGTAGATTTCCAGCAAGTGATGAGCTCTAGTGCCTATGTTCTCTTCTACAGGTTAGTATTTACTTCTTGAGAAATAGTCATAGAAAACAGTAAATTATTTTGTTTTCTTTTTCTTGGAATATCCACAGCTTAATTGATAACTCTTCGATACTAAGTATAAAAACGTTTTTCTCCGTTATACAAATTTCTTCCTTAAAAAAAAAAAAAAAAAAAAAGAAAGCATATTTGTGAGTGCATTGTGTTGTGTGTTTGTGTGTGTATAGATGAGTATAGCTTTTTTTTTTTTTTTTTATAAAGAATCTTACTTGTTGCTGATCATTCTAAAATTTACCTGTTGGCTCATCCACTCCATTTATGGATTGGGCAGTCCTGAATTTTGGATTTTTCCATTCTGATAAAGGTGGAGTGCCCATGGACGATTTTAATTGGAGGAAAGCTGATTTGTGGTTTTTCAGGGTTCCAAAATCTCCTTTAAAGCCATTTGAATTCTGCAATTGCTATTTTCACACAGCTTGTGGTGTGGTTATATGTTGGTATTTGATCACCACCATCAGGGTAACTTGAGTGAAGGAGTCTGATGTTGGATAACCCCAAAACTCCTAAGGATCCCAGCATAACACCACTAATGATGTTACTGTGGTCACCTTACATATGCTTTAAAAAAAAAAAGGAGAAAGACCAGTATTTCTAAATGTAAAAGGAGACCAGAACAGTGAATTGTTGGTGTCTGTAAGCATCAGTTATAAAAATAGAATTATTTCATGACCACACTGTATTTCTATTTGCATAAAATGTGTAAAGAAAAGTCTAATGCCATCAGTTGAACAATTTTTTTTTATCAAAAATAATTCTGATTTTTGTCTTACATTGTCAAAATTTCAGAATATTATTTTCCAGGGATTTTAGTTGTGCTTGGAATTTAAAACATGAGCTTTGAATATCTGAAAAATTGTGAAAAGAGCCTTGAGAACCTTGAATATTATGTTAGTGGCAATTTCAAATTACCTCAGGGTTGTGTCCTTTATACTTTTGAATGTTTTGAACTACTGAAGATAACTTCAAGATAAATCATTTCTCTCAATATCTCTTTCTTCCAATATCTTTGTATTTGTATTTCCTTAAAACTTAGTATATAGTTCTCATGTAAATAATCAGCTTTTGTAACAAACTTTGAAATTGAATTTAAATAGCAAGGAATGTAACCACTTGGTTGAATTTCTGTTTTGTAATCAGTTGTTCTTCTTGTGATGCCATCAAGATGGTAAAGATTTTCTAAAAATGGTGTGTCAGTGACTTGTCTGACTATAGCTGAATTTTTTCAGCAATCCAACTATTCAGTTTAATTGGGAGGGGTCAACCTGAATACTGAAATTTTTTGTTTGGGTTAAAAAAAAAAAAAAAAAGACCTTGAAAAAGCAAATTTTAATCTTGAAAAATCTATTTATTGGCTAGAATAAACCTTGAATTACTGGGAGTTTGATTTTTGTTACAAACCTTGTTTTCAGTAATTCAAAGTAACCAATTCAGAACTTATTGTACTTATTTGTATTTATTGCATGTTAAATGTATATAAAGTGTGTGTGTCCACTGTATATTATGATTAAATTATAAAATATTAAACATGTTTGTCTTTTTTAAAAAGAAAACAAAATGATCATATGATGCCAATGCGGGAAAGTGCTATGAGCCTGATGGAAGAACCTGAGGTAAGTATCTGTCCTTGGATGATTTTTTTTAAATTCTTTTTATCTCTCATTTTTCTAGGCTTCATTAAACCCTGAATCTAAAAATATATTCTTAGCTTATACATAGCAAAACCTTATTTTTCATATAATCATGATCAGGTGTTCCATAACCCATTAGGGTCCTACAGGCACCACATTTATTGTAGCTGTAGCAGCATTGTTGTGTCTTGGGCAAGATAATCTGATGGAGAACAATCCTCTCCAGGCTGGTTTAAATTCAGTTTTCATTCTAGACTGGTTGCCAAACAAGGCTTTAGGGTCCACTTTGTTATGCTATTTACCCATAGCTGGAGGGGGAAAGAGATGAATTCATACCATTCTCAAGGGCATTTGCATGTATGTAACAAACCCAACTGGAATTTGAACTCTGCTCTCTAATTTCTCATTCCAAGCTTCTATCTGTTACACTACTGCACATCCAAGAATTTACCATTTAAAAGAGAAGTAACCAGTGTTTTTATTGTTCAACAGTTTCACCAAATCTTAAAGAATAGATCTAAATATGCAATCTTCTAATAAGACACTACTGCTTTATATATGTGAAAAATAGGAATTTTTAGTTTTAAGCTTTGTTCAGCTGAATGAATATCATGTATGAAGTGATCTGAGTACAGGAGTTGTAAAGAATCTATTTAAGCCAGATACAAATTTCTGTTATTAATCTCACTATTTTCTATTTTATGGTTAATATCTTTCTGCAGACAAAGTTAATAAACCAAATCATTTTCTATATTCAAGTTAACACAAGCTTAACTCTCTCAATAAGCATGCCATCATACCCCATACTGAGCCAGGAAATGTTTTTCATAGTTTAATTGTATCAATAAAGAAGGTCCAGAATCAATATTTCCTTTTAATGGCAAGAGAATTAATTTCTTTTCTAGTTTTGATTGTATTATATATATATATATATATATATATATATATATATATATATATATATATAGCTTTTCATTTTTATCAGTAAATCAAAAGAAAGGTATGAAGAATTGTTAAAAACTTTTATGTCTGACTTATTTCCCGAAATTTGGCCAAATGACCAAACATTAAATATTTATTTTTTTGCAGGGCTTTTTTTGTTGGATGGAGAACTTTTTAGTGGCATATTGTAAATCTATACAAATATATATATATTGAATTTTGGAATATTCATAATAGCTTTAAATATTGGCTTCGCAAAGGTTTGCTTTGTATTTCCACGTGAAAGGGCTAACCTTATCTAAATCGATTACATTTGACACACATGATTATTAAAAATATTAGGAAAATTACTTATTTTTTTATTTTTTTTTATTTTTTAATACTATCAGCTTTTCAAGAAAGCATTCATAAAATTTATCAGCTTTGTCAGAATATGATTGTTGGTGATCCATTTATCAAGTACCAAAATAGTCCTTATTCTACTAAGTGTTTAATCCTTTTTGCACTGACCTTCCAAAGAAACAAGTTTTATTTGCTTTTTTTTACTCATAGATAAGAAATAGAAGAAAAAAAAATTTTTATTCCTTTTTTTGAAAAAGAGTTCTTTATGATACTCATGTCTACTTTACTCATTGAAAAGATTTTGTGATCTTTTATTCATTTTTAAGATAATTTTAGTAGCTGGGAATAACTTGACCAATTATTAAATTTCAATCATGTTTGCCTTAATATTCAAAATTCCTACTAATATTTATCTTAGAAATGTTTTTCTCTAATTGACATATTTTACTCTTACACATTTTATGGTGGATTATATTTAACACCTTTAGATAGTTGTGTTAAAATGAAATTACTTTTAATTTTATTTGAGTAACCTTTCTCTGTCTCTCCACTAGCCAAGTCTCCTCCAATTTTATGTGTCGAAACAATGGATTAATCGCTTCAACACATTTGCCGAGCCTGGGCCAATAACGAATCAAGATTTTCTCTGTCCACATGGAGGTGAATTACTTTTCAGTTATTTACTTTAACAATAGTTAAAACAAAATGACAACAACAAATACATACCATGTATACTAAATTATAATAATACAAGTTTTTATGATCATTTTTTTTTTTATGCCCAAAATAGGGGTATGCAGGTAATTTTTTGAAGAGGTTAAAAATCCTGAATTTTTAGTGACCAATTGCACTATACATATGTAAATTTTTTTTCTGGAGGGGTTAAAATTCATACAAAAAAAATTTGGGGTACACTATACATGAAGTTGGCTTATACACAAGTACATATGGTAATTATTTTTCACTTACTGAGAAAACATTGTTAATTATTTTCAAATATTGATTATTTTTAATGAAATGTTATAATTGAATATTTTTAAGAGAAGGTTCTTTTAAACTTTCATTTTAAGTGAAACAAAGAAATTTATAAAAAAAATATTTTGTATTGCAAAATATTTTAATGATTTTTGACTCAATTCCTATTGGCTTTAAATTTAATTTTTTTTTTTTCTGTATTTTAGATTTTCCATTTTACTTAAGTTAGATAACCTTTTTTAATACTCATGATAATAATGCATATAAAATTTTATTCCAGTCTTTTAAAATTTGAGTTGTTTCTGATTATTTGAGAGTATTTTTTTTTTTTTTGATTCCAACTTTTTATTTTAATTTGCTCTTTGTTTTGTCATATGTATATATTTTTTTTCTCTAACTTCACAGGTGTTCCTCCAACCAAAATGGGTCATGTGGAGCAACTTGTTGTCCTTCTGCATCAACCAGTTTGGCAGTACCTGCATGAGAGGTAAGAACTCAGTCTACATAATTTATGCAGGTTTCTTATAGTTCTCACTTGTTGAATAGTTTCTTTATTTTAGCATCGCAAGTCTTTTGTGAACAAATATTTTTCTTTTTATGTTAAGATTTGGTGGCGGTCCTGCCTGCACACATCTCATTGACTGCAAGACTTGTGAAATGGAACTTGAAAATTTGAAGAACAGACAAAGAACTGAAATGGAATCCTTTATTCAGGTGAGATTTTTGTCAACCATTTCTCTCTATAAATAAGATCCCTTAAATTTAATTAAACAATTATGGAATGCATCATCCCTGTATGTGAATTGCAGATCCCTAATAGGAGTCAATTTTACTTCTGATATTTCAGTTTTCTATTATAACTAATCAATATTTAGAATGTCTAAACTATACAATTTCTTAGTTGAAGGCATAACAGATCATTGAAGTAACTAAGTTAATAATATTCTTATTCTCTTCTTTTTAACAATAGTGAATAGTAGTAAATAAATGGCCATATAGATCACTATTAATATGATTTACCATTACCTAAAAAGGAAACAAGGTTAATTAAGTCAATAATAATTTATTTTAGCTCAACTGTAGACTCTTGAAATCCATTTTATTGCCATGCTTATCCAGTTCATCCATTCTTTGGGTGTCTGGGGGGTAGTGTAATGGTTAGTAAATTGGAAAGAGAAATCATCAAGCTAAGTTCAAATTTGGGCAAAGTTTGTTACATTCACCTTTGCACAAATACCCTGTTCTTCCCCAGGTATAGGTTAAGTAACAGGGCAGATTGGGCTCTCAACCAGTCTAGAAGGATGGACTGTGTTAGACTAGGCACATCACTGCTGCTATGATTGCAGTACTACGGCACTATTGGATTACAGGACTTGTCATGACTTGATTGTAGAATAAATATAAAATTTATTATGTATTCATGAAAATTTATTACATGTATGCTCTATTAAGCTTATGGTAATGGAAATATTCTGAAATGTTACACTCCATCACTTAAATGTATGGAATTTGTTTTAGAAGCTTGGTTAGTTTATTGCTTCAGTTCTATGGAACATCATGGATCAAAACTTGTTTTTCATGTATTTGTATTGAAAATAAAAATGATTGCAGCAGGGCCTTCCTTTAACACACAGCCACCAACGACTGCCAAACACTATCCTCTAACAAACTTAAATTACACTGTCTCTGAGTTTTTTACTCCAGTAGCCCACAAACCAACTGCCCTTTTAATTCTTGTCTACCCAATCAGAAACAAATCCTTGTTTCATCTTGGGTGGCCGCTGGACACCATTGAATGCTTCTTAGCTATTTCTGCCACCTGTCAAATGCCAAATGCTGTTCTTTCTTACTAAAGTATTGGTTTAACTTGTATTGCATCATTCATACAGTTTTATTATGTTTTTGAATTTTTGCGCTTATATTAGCCGCCATTACATTTCTGTTCACCACCTACTTCCATAGAAAAATATTTGTTTATGGATTGTTCACTTGAAGAAAGTTCTAGAATGGATCAGCTAAAACTTGATAGTTAATGAAAGCAACACAAAGAATGAGTTTAATAGTCAAAACAATTCTTGGAATATGCTTTTGTTTTTCAGCTGAATGAAAAATTCCAAGCTGAAGATGACCCTGCCATAATATATGCCATCAGTATGGCTTGGTTTAAGGACTGGGAAAATTTTGTTAAAGCAAAAACCGATAGTAAGTGGCTTAATCTGTTTTCTACTCTACCTGTATCTTTAAAAAAAAGTTTGTTAACATGTAATTGATGTTAAAATGCATGACAATATTAAAGTTACATAAAAAAATAAGTTACTGTTAATTATTATATGTGGTCTTTTTTGTATTAATGTTATTGTCCATTTTTGTTTTCACATTTTAGTCATATATCTTCCAATCTTTCTTAGGTGTTGTGTTCTAGGATGTTGGTAAATTATACTTTTGGGCATTTATGTGCATCTCTTTCCTCCCCACATGTTAAATCCAGTTATGTTGTTTGTTTTTTTTTTTTTGTTTTTTTTACATCCCTGTATTCCACAGACACATTGCTTCTTTCAGTCTATTATTTTGACTTCATTCCATGAAGGTTGGTGTGTCCCTTTCCCCCCTCCATTCATGGTCAGCCATACCTGATTTTAAAATGTGTCTACATGTTATAGGTTCCTATTGTCTTTTAACACTGTTTATAGAGGGTACACAGTTTCACTCTTGTATTTTTTTTGTCTGGAATAAATTTTTGGTCATGTTCCTTCCACTGGAATTTTTACTTTGGTGAGATGTCTGCATATAGCATGGGATTGCTTTAAGTATTATCCTGGTGTTGTAACATGCAATTCAGACACCCACCAAAATAAAACCCTGGTGGAAGAAAGCATGCAAACATCTGTTTAAACTGTTTAGATTGTTCAGACTGTTGACCTCACAAGGTTTCAGCCATTGTACATTCCAGTTTTCTTCAGTGATGTACATTGGAATTTTGAACTAAACCATTTATTTAGCCTACTGGTGTAGATTGCTCACTGGATAAAAGCATTGGTTGAAGTATTCCAGTGACTTGACCCAAAGAGTTGTGAGTTCAATACCTGGCCACAGCAGAGGTGAACAAAAACTTGGAGAGTTGAGTTACTAAAGGGAAATAACTGAAACTGAGATATCCAGAAAAGGCATGGCATGTGGAACTAGAACAATCTACCACTGTGGACAAAATAAAGTGTTCAGTCTGAGATTCCAACATATATTGCCCAAAGAAAACCAGCGCATATAATGGTTGAAACATTGTGAATATGACAACAAAGATGAGGACAACAATGTAAATAGTGTAAATAGTTACAATACGACATCTCAGAAATATAGACAGATGATACAAGCATCTATTACACATTCTCTGAATCATCTTTGACATGCTTCTGATATATGAAAGATATTCTTTATGCTGTTTTTTTTTTTTAATTTCTTGAATTATTCAGTAAAAATTTTATTTTATTTCATTAATTTTTACAACTGATGTTTTAGGCAAATATATGAAGCTTTTCAACTCCTTATTTTTATAGTGTATATTTATAAGAATTCAAGCTTAACCAAAATGTCATTGAAACTGTTAAGAATATAAATTCTGCTTCTGAGGACAATATTGTTAGTGAATGAAAAAGAAAATTTTAACTTTAAAAATATTTAAAAATGGAAAAAGCAAACAGATCAGCTGAAACTGTAAAATGTTGATTTGGAGGCCATGGTAGTAAATGATTCAAAAATCTTGAAGAACTTGCTGTAAGTTTCAGTATATTGATTGGAACTATTTCACATTATTTAAGTGATTTGCAAGAAGAAAATGTTTTGATCTTCATTTTAACCTTTAGCACTCTATAGGTGACTATTTATGACAAGCAAAATGCTAGTCCTGCCAATGGAAGTTGAATTTGAATTTCTTTGTTGTGTAGTCATATCCTTTTATGGCAACACCTAAAACAATTTTGACTGAAATTGATTGCCAGGCTACTGCAATTTCAAATATATATAAAACACTATATTTTGAGGGGATTCCATATACAGTAAAAGGATAAGTAATATTTATAAATGAGGCAGAGTTCTAAATGTTTTAATTGAATATGGAACAAAGAATCTGCTTAATCTGGTATAAGCCAGGCTGCTGGCTTATACCAGATTAAGCAGTGTTAATTTTCCTATTTATTTTCCCTTCTGTGATTATCTCTGTCTTATTTGTTGAGTAATGATCCCTCAGGTTGTGATATTGAATAGAAACATTTTTAGCAAGAGGTTGTATGAGTTCTTTTTGAGATTTGGAGTAAACGTTAGTCCAATAGTTTTTCAAGGAAAGAAGTCTCATCATGATTGGAGAAAATTCTGGGTTTGCTCATTGATGATGGAATGTTACTAGCATGGTTTTTGAGGTTTTAGATGTTACAAGCCAGTTTTTACCCATTGAGCTGGGGAAGCTAGTTTAGAGGAGAGACCAGCTGCAAGGCTTTGATCATCAAGATTTTGGGAGGTGTGCTCATAAACTGTGGTACCGTCTGCATATATATTTACAAATGATCAGAGAATGTCCCTGTGGAGATCATAAAAATAAAGCAAAATGTAGGACTGAAAAGAGAGCCTTAGGGAATCTCATGAACTTCGGAAGACTGGGTAATAATGATAACTTTTATGGGTTTACATGATGGGAATGTCTTGATAACTCTGGAGACTCTTCCAGGGATACCATAGCTTGAGAGTTTGTGTAAAAAAACCCTATGCTACACTTATCAAAGACTTTGAGGTATCTCAGGTGATTATTCTTGGCTTGGTACTCAAGGATATGAATCAATGCCAGGTGTTAAACACATCAACTTAAAAATCCAACATTTTATGAACACTATTATAAGGAGGAGGACTTTTGTATTTGTGTGCTGTTTCTATTCAGAACATGGTCGATCACGGCTCTCCACAACTTCCTATCCATTGTAGCTTATAATAATGTTTGTATTTTTACTATCTCTTCCACTCCTTGTTCTGTCATCCATTTACATAATCTTGTTAGGTACACTGTTCCTCCCCATTACTATCCCTTTTGTCTTCAGTATATCTTATGAGTATCAAATTCTCTAAGCCCTCTTTTCTCATTATGTGTCCCAGAAGCTTCAACTCTCTCTCTTTTTGATCCTATGTACAAATGTCTACAATTGCTTACATATGTTCCATCCATGGTATTCTTAGTATGCTTTTATACAACCACATCTTTGTTGCTTCAAGTCTTTTTACCTGTGGGGAAATTGTCCAGCATTCACTGCCATATAGAAGTGTTGATATTACATTGCAGTTTGGTGCTCTTTTCTTTGTTTTGAATGAAGATTTCCTGTTTACTGAATTAAAAAATCTCCTGAAGAAGCTTAACCTGATAGAAACAAAAGTAAATAAGATTGAAGACATTAATTATAATATCTTATTTCAGAAAAATAATGCATGTTAATTACTTTTCCTCCTTCTGTACTTTTTATCATTGGTTATTTATCAGCCTTCTTGGTCAACCTATCTGTCTCTATTATAATGTAATTTTTTTTTTTTTTTAATTTTTTTTTTGTTTTCGTTTTTGTAAAATTTAAAACATTTCTCATTCAATTCCCTCTTATTATTTTTCTTTCCTTTTTTGTAGCACCTCCGGATCCAATTGATAATAGTCGCATCACAGTTCTGAAGAACGGTCAACCATTCCTGAAGACTGGGTCTGATTATGGCCAGCTGTCAAGAGAAATGTGGCAATTTCTTCATGGAATATATGGGGGTGGTCCTGAACTTATTCAGCGCCAACACCCAGCTATTCTGCCTCCTGCTACACCTGCAAGTGGCAGTGGTGGCTCCCAGCCTCCAGCATCTGTTCCGGCTGCAGCTCCAGCTCCAGCTCCAGCTCCAACTCCAACTCCAACAATCCCAGATGGTTGTGTAAATATGGACAGTTCTGCATGTTCATCAGTTGACAAAACAGAGGAAGAGGATGAATCAACCTCTTATAATTCTGTTCCTATGTCAGCCAATGTTATTGATACTCGTTTATGAGAGTACACTTAGCAGGACTAATTATCAAATATATATTAACAAAGATAAAATAGATTTATATTTAAAGAAAGAAAAATCTTCCCCATCCCACCAAATGACACACACACACACACACACACACACACACACACACACACACAGAGTTTTGGAATAATTTATTTCCTTTTTGCACCAATCTTCTGACTACTCTTGTTGATTATTGACATTTCCTTTTAATCATTCTTTCAAATTAACTTGTTAACCAACTTGCATATTTTTCTGCATGCTTTATTAAATAACACAGGTGATTGTAGTGACAGCTGGAAATCACCTTACACTGAATGTGACCCAATTCTCTTATGAAAACCTGGCAGTTTTAAATTTCACTTTCCTAAAAGAGTAAAATGCAATTTATAAAAATTTTCTCCTGGTTGCTAGATTCACTTCTGCATAAATTGCCAAATTCAAATCTGTTAGGATTTGAATCCATGATTAGAAAATGAAATACAAATTCAATGTTATTCTTCCTTTGATAAATGTGTTTAAACTTTTGCTCTTAATAGGATACCACTAAACTCTGTTCAGAGTTTCAAATTCCATTCTTGGCTCGTTTGGCATTCCTTAATAGATATATCATGTGCAAATATACATTGAGAGTAAAACTGTTTAGAAATAATTAAATACTTATATAATATGGCTACTTGGTCCAAATTTCTTTGAAATATAGATGAAATTTTTAAAGACTGAAAAAAAATTTTTAAAAATTGAAAAGAAAAAAAAAGACACTAAAATCTAAATATAGACGAGGTGTAATTTTTGTTTCTGTTTATTTAATTAGGGCCACTAATTTGTGTAATAAAATGTGTGTAGATATGCAAGAATAATTGTTTTCATCCAATAATAATTGAAGCAAAACAAAATATAAATGTGCATGGTAGGAGGGGTTATGAAGCATACCAAAAAAAAATGCTTTATTCCTATTTACTTACCATAATTGCACAAATTTGTTGGAAAAAGATATTCAATAACATGGCATAACATGTTTACTTTCTTAACTGTATCCACTAAAACATCTTCTTAGATCTTAACCTTTAATACCCCCATTACACTCCACCATTTTTTAACTTGGTCGTGTTAAGAAAAAAAATGCACCTTACTGTAAATCCACACTTTTATTGTTACTTCACACTTCTCTATGCATCTTTTGTGACTGATGCTTTGTATATAATTATTACAAAAATAAAAAAAAAACTACAGGAGTAACGCTGAGAGACTGGGATGGAAGGCATGTTGTGTGTTGTCGCTTTCCTTTGCAATCCAACGGTGATACCCAACCAGCCAACACCATCCGCCAAAAAACAGAAGATAACTTCATTGTTATGAATGAAATGAATAAAAAAAAAAAAAATGAAAAGACTGCCGTGATCACATTCATCTTTAATAACTTTCTTTTATTTCATTGATTTGTTATTGCATGTTTTCACTGCCAGTATTTACCTCTTTCCTATAGTTCAATCTGTTTCTGTCAAGTGCAGACCCTCTAGTGACATTTTATAATTTATGAATGATTATTTTGCAATAGAAGCAAAAGTTTTAAGTAAAATACATGTAATGTTAAGATTAGGATTATATTTTGTTTCAAAATATTTTTAAAAATATGGTTTTCATCACCACTTGACTATTTTTTCATGTCTGTTTATAATTAACCGATACTTATATTTTATAACTTTAGAGTATACTCTAAAAAAAAATTTAGTACCAGTGAAACTATATCTTGTGGTAGTAAGTATTCATGCAATATCCCATTTAAATGAGTGATTCTTCAAAATGTTTCACTTACAAAAATAGTTAAACTTGGACAGACAAACCAAAACAATTCAGAAATTTGGCAAAATAATTTAGAAAAGTACACTACTTAATAAAAGTGAAATTTATTAAGTTTTTCCTCTTATGCAAGATATTTGAACTTGGAGACCATGACACATGAAGCTAATATTTTTTTCTTAAGTATATGCAATTCAATGTTTTTGTTTCGTTTTTTTATTGGTTGATTTGTACTTTTTATGACTTATCAACCTTTTGCCGGTTATTTAAAGCCAATATTTATATTGTAAGAATATTTTTGGAGATAATAATGATCTACTGATACAACTTGTCCAAATTAATCCATAGTTGGAGGTAGATTTATACCTTTCCTAAGGATATTTGCACATAAATGAATATAACAAAATGGACTGGAATTTGAACTCTGCTCTCTGATTTCCAATTTCCAGCCATTATCCATTACCCTACCTGTACATTCAAGCTTACAGCACCTCGTATTCCAAGTAGTCACCCATCTAAGTATGGACTAGGCCTGATGTTGCTTAACTTTGATGATCATATGAGAACCAGTGTTTCAATGTGATATAGCTGTAATCCTTTTTTTACTACTGGATGTTTAATGGATTATTTAGTGGTTGAGAACTTGTTAATTATTTGTTCAGACATGATGCTCAATGTTAACATTTCAGAAAATTGGCTTAAAGGACATTTTTTTTTTTCTGGGAATAAATTGTATAGAATTAACATGCAATATACATTAACAAGAAAAAAAAAAAGAATTATTCTGTTTTATACAAATGTTAAAATACCTTAATTCTTCTCCTGCATAACAGTGACTATAGCAGCTACTTTGCTTCTTACATTTCAATATACAATTCTTGTTTTAGATTTCAAAATGATTTAAGATTTAAACATTTCTAGAAAATGTTCATGATGTGATGTAGATATTAACTTGTAAATCATTATTGTCAGAGTTAAACATTCCGCGCACACACATATATATATATATATATATATATATATATATATATATATATGTGTGTGTGTGTACCATTTTTTTTTTTTTATTTGGAATAATATATATTTCAAATTTTGTTTAAACAATTGAAACTATCTTTGTATTTTTGATTTCAAGTTAGAATTTTTTCATTGAGCTGTAAGGTTGTTTTTTTTTATGAATTTGAATGCCTGATGAAGAATGGAGCAAATAATTAAATAAAGGCTATACAAAAACTGTCCATGCAAAAAGATAAAATTTTCTGTATGTAAATAGCTAGATAATGCATTGTTGCAGATTAATATGTGTATATCTTTAAGAGCAATGCAATTCTTTTATGTAAGAAAATATTTGAAAATCTTCACATTCAAACCTGTATTCTTTCAATATGAATATTAGGGAATAAATTGACCTTGTGATTAGAATTTTTTTAGATCAATTTTGACAGAAATAGACCAAATTCTTTTTATTTCTTGTTTTGTTTAAATCTTTTACTTCATGCGTTCTCATGATAACTCCTTCCCTTTGAATTTGAAAAAAAGTATACATTTTTCATAATGGGTGTTGTGTGAACATTTTGAATTTTGAAAAGTCACTGATAATAAATCTCTAAGAATGACTAAAAGGTAACCATTTTAAAGAAAAGAGACAATTTGAATTAGAAATTTATTTGCCATATAAGCAACCAGTTACCATGTTGCCTTTCATGATCAAATAATATTTAAATTTGAGATTTTGACCTCAATATTCAAATGAATTACATACATACATAGACATTTTTTTCTTTGGGGTAGGACTTAGATTAATCTTGCACAAGGTAAAGTGGGTCCTGCATGACAGGGTTTGTCATAATGATTTGAGGCAAAATTTTACATGGCCAGATACACTTCCTGATGCCCAACTCAGATACTTACAGCAGCCTCTAGAAGTGTTGACATTCAAGACTTGACATTCAAGATATATATAGATATCATTCTATATATATATATATATATATATGTGTGTGTGTGTTGGCTATTGACACCTATAAGAAGCTTGTCCTTGGATAATTAATGTAGACATGGTAAAACCCTAAGCTTTGGGAAACTAAAGATACAATATAAGCAAAATTGGCCCTTTGCTTAGCTTATGACAAATATTAGTCTGTACTTTATTAAAAGTGACAGATAATGATTTTTTTCTGTTTAAAAAACACTGAAAAAAAGTCATTATCTGTTACTTTCAGATTCAACTTTGTCTCTTAGACATTCAATATTTTGATTCTTTTTTTTTTTTTTTTTTGCTTCCAGTGTTTTTATTTTTTTCTAATATCCAGCATTATACATAATATAGTTAGGAAGCTAGTCTTATTTTCCCTAATGACAATATAAAGAGGTTATTTAAACACAAAGTTAATGAAGAAATTATGTACAAAACAGTTCTTGTATTTTAATTTAAAAAAAGATTGGAAAATGAATTTTACTTTACTTATGAATCATTACTTTTTACATCATTTAATAATTTTTTTATTTCTGTCAATTCTGTTTATAAACCATTTCTAAAGAAAGAATTTTTCATTTTGGTAACTAACCATTTAAATGCAATGAGCCAACTAAAATATCTTATTCAAAGTACTCTCTAGCCAGAAAACAAAAACAATGCTCCATATTCTCCATTAAAACAAAGTCTGATGCTGATGTTCAGTTTTTATATACAGCCAAGAAAGACCCGTTTTACCATAGTTTGGTTTAGATTTATGATGGGGTGCTGAAAAATTATTAGTCTGACCTACTTTCCAGCATTTGACTAAACATCAGAATTGTTTTGTTGAAGTCTCCTCTTGGCTGGGCTAAGAATTTTTCAGCCCTCTTACTTCTCTATGTAAAATCTGCTCAGTATACTTTTTGTATAAACCACAGGGGTGGGGGTCTGTGGCTGTTGAACAAACGCAAATGTGCCTGAGCAGGCCTCTGCAACAGGGATTAGCTAACCACCCGAGTAGACCCCAGTCTCCCGAAACTGATGCCGATTACTATTTACAAGAGTATTCTTAGCAGTTGTATTTACTTGAATTTCAGTATTATTAAATGAAGCATTGTCAAACATCATTAATTTTTTGGTTAGTATTTCTTTTATCTCTGTGATAGCTGCAACTATTGAGAAGTCGGATTGTCAGTTAAACAGTGTGTATTGGAAATTCAGTTGAGATTATTTAGTAACCAATAGGGTTACTCAGATTTCCCGAGGCAAAGGGATGTGCATCTTACAAAGAGCTTGTTCTTTATTTCCTACACGCACTGTTTACTAATGATTATATTCTAATGTTCCCCACAATTTCAGTGAAAAACAACTATAAGATGAAGAATATTAATAAAAAATTAATGGCTACCAATATTTCTATTCTGCAGTGAATATTGCATTATCTCCCATGTTTAGTTATAAAGGGAAATAACTCTTTTTTAATTTTTTTATTGCTATATGCGACCAAATCGTGGTATAAGTTTAACTTCGATTGTTTTAATAAATTATAATTTTATATAGAAATTAAACGTAGCTTTTGAAACAGTTTATTGAAAAACTACGTTTTTTACGAAAAGAAAAATTTTATTTATTTAAAAAAAAAAAAAAATGACATCCATTCTCAATGGATTCTCTATCATTTGTCTTTCATTTTGGTTACGATATTTTTTAAAGATTTTTTAAAAATTTTGTTTCCTGTACAATTGTTTGCTAAAGAAAATTTATATCGTTATGTTATATTTTAAATCAAATTTCTACGACGATGAAATATTGTTAGCCATGTGTTCTCTGGCCATCATTTGACAATTGACATTGTTACTTTTTAGTTTTTAACACAAATAACTACAGCTGTAAAATAAAAACATTTAATTGATTCTGAATTTTACAAATACATTTTCATTGCATTGGATTTGCTTTCTGACTACAGGACAAGTAGTACGTAAAAAAAATAGAAGTATCAGATATTAAATTTTAAAGATTCTTTGTTCTTCATTTTTTATCTAATACTCTCATAATGAATATAATACACATTCAATATTCATTCATTTATTTATTTGGCTTTTTGACTACTTATTTTCTAGAACTTTTCCGAATTATATCAAAATTTTAGAAGCTGTTTTATATTATTTTAAAAATTAATGGTCGCAATGATTTTTTTCAAACAAATGATACAGCTCAGCAGGGTTGTAGATTGAGACCAAGAGGAATAATTTTGTCCTTTGTTAATAATTTCGTAATAATTTTCTTATGATTGCAAAAATAGTTTAAGAAATTGAGTGACTAAATATCACGTGACTTGCAGTAACCAAATGTATGAAATCTATTCTCGATAAGAATTTTTATTAAGTCTTTTCTTAATTTCTGGCTAAATTTCTCGGATGACAAGTTATTATTCACACTATATTTACATGCGGACTATTGTCCTCGTCTTTGTTGTTGTTGTTTTACCACAACGTTTCGACCGTTGTGTCCTCTGGCCTTCATCAGGTGTTTGTCGACCCTGGTAACCTACAGGAAATTCAGAACTGAACTCTTTAATTAATCTTCGGGTATCGACTGTTCTTATTCCACAAGGTGAGCGATAACGGAACAGTACTAAAAATAAGTACTAGATGAGATATCCGTAGACATGGGCAGTGTAACGGGAACAGTCTACCCTCGTAGATGAAATAAGGGATTCAGTTCGGAATTCCCTGCAGGTTACCCGGATCGATATACGTCTTTTGTTAATATATTAAATTTGGGGAAAATGGAAGACAAATTCTATTAGATTCCTAATGAATCAGGTTGCTCTCTAGTCTCTGCCAGCTCACAAAATAATTTTGTCATTTTTTTCCTTTCTCACCGTTGATTATCTTTCCTTGTGAAAGTGATTTAACGAAATCACTTATTTTAATTTCTCGCAAATAAACGAATGTATTCGAGCGCTTTCTTATTTTTAAAACATCGATCATGATTGAATGGAGATGCGAACTTCTGTCATTGTACGTCCTTTTTCTTGTCTTTCCGCAGTTTTCATAACTGATGTAGTTCTAAAGAAGTGGTTCCCAACATTTCAACCAACGACCTTTCTTTTGTTGGAATTGGCTTCATCTCCCCAAAAAATCTTTTATTTCAGACAAATGTGTGTGTGTGTGTGTGTGTGTTTTGTTGAACAAAACTGATAGGTACTTTTGTTTATTTTTAATGTTCTTCTTGTATGCCTACAAGTGTTTTATTTTCTGAACCTAATGAATGTAAAAATGATCCATAAATTTGTTGATTCCTTGCGCTTTTGGCTAAAAACTATTAGCCATTTTCAATGATTTTTGTTATACTTGTTGTGTCGTACGCACACAAGAAAAACGATAAAAACTAAAAAAAAGTATTTTGTGTATTGTTCAGCGAAACGTAGTAAAGAGAAGGATTGCTGCACAAATACAATTATATATCAGCACCTCCGAAAGAAATAAAAAAAAAATGAAACTTAAGGTTTAAAATGCATTTTAAAAAGGAGAAAAGCTTCTTTCTTGAAGCTTTTATTTTAGTTTTAATTCTAATCTAAATTCAGCATTTCCAATAAGCCAAATACTTTGCTGTATTTAAATTTAAATT